AATGCATAACCAAACAATGTCAGTTAATTAGTAGATAAAGCACATCTCGAAACTTTACCACACAGTTTACATAATTGTATATAGCATTTTATGATTGCAAAAGGCTTGACACTGCATGAACTCTTTGGGGAAGAAAAATAGAGAAAAAGGGTTAATTGCACATTCATGCAAGTAAGGTTAGGCTTCCAACAAATATTGAACCAACTTACTCTCTAAAGAGAGTTCCAACACAGGGGACAGCATGCAAAACGAAACAAAAACAAAACAAAACAAAACAACAAAAAAGGGAAAAAGATAAAAACACACAAATTAGTGGCCATCAATACAAAGTTCCTGTATGGAATATAAAACAAAATAAAACAAAAAAGGTATTTCAAAACTTTTATGATAAATTTAGTAATTTTATTGGGATACCCAATGTATTTTAAAAGTAAGCACTTGGCATGTCCTTCAAATCATTCTCCTATTTTCTCCTCCAAATGATATTATTACTCTTTTTCTAAGCAATTCCCTACATCCAGCTATCATGTTAAAGTAAACCTTTAAGGAAAAAAAAAAAGAGTGATGACAGAATAATTCCTACAGACACTTGAAAAGAGTCTAAGATGAGATTTGTGTAGCCATATGTGTGGGATAAAAAATTCACAGCTCATGAACTCTTAGTACTTAAAGGATCCTCCTGATAATATATTGATAACTATTAATAGTTTCGCAACACCAAAAAGCAAGCAAGGTTTCAGTGACTGGGAACAGGTGTACCGCATGTGCTATAACACAGGCCAAATTTTCGAAATCAAAGCAATATTCTTTTATGTCAGAATGCCCAGTAAACAAAACAAAACAATCAACTAGAATAATTCAATGTAACATCCCTAAAGGCTTAATGAAAAGATAAAATGCTCTTCTGACACATACAACTAAATTTTGGAACATTTTCATTATCCTTCCCTGGCTCCCCCACTACAAAAACATCTCCAGGGTAGTTCTGATATATGCATAGCTGCAATATTAATTAACACACGAACAAGTAAAATTAAACCAAGCTGCTATTCACAATTTTGTCATTACTTCATTTAAAAACCAGTAATATTTCAATATTTAATTTTCTTCCCTCTCCTCTGACTTAACTGTTCTTTTTATGGAATGCTTTCTTCAGTTTGTCTTTAACTGTTTGGCTTTAGTCTTTTCTTCTGGATTTCTACAGTATGTGAGCAACTTTAATATAATGTTGCTGTGTGAAATGCAAGTTTCTTTGAAAATACATGGTGACACAGATAGCAGATAAGTCACTTTTCCAGCAGGAAAAATAGGGAGGACAGATGAACCCCGTCAAGACTTCTCATCACTCTGAATTTAATTTTCCATTGCAGCAATAAGGAAGACTTAAAAATGTTAACTGTATTGCATAACCAAAGTAGTTTTTCAGAATTCTGCTGGGAAAAGCCAATACTTCTGAAGGAATTAATTTGCTCTGAATTTTTCTGGGTTATCATTTTATCAATTCTGAAATGTGGACACAAAGTGGGACATGTTATACTCAATAGAAGAGATAAGGTTTCTTCCAAACAAGCCTATAATTCAAACAAAACATGAAGTTACATGTTTTTTACATGATACCATTGTAACTTTATTCAGCTCCTTATTTACCTGTAGTCCTTCTGCTATGGGAGATTACTCCATATATGAAGCTGTGCTAGTAACCCACCTCCCACAAAAATTGTAAAACTACTATCAAGCAAAGTAACTCAGTTAAAAAAAGATTTTAATGGTCTTAGAAAACAAAAGGATTATTCTCATTATATCATCCATATTGCGTCTTTACCCAGGTAAAAGTGAATGAAACATCGCATTTTCTTTTAAACTGAAGTATAGTCTCCACCACACTTATTGAATACTAACAATGATGTAAAAATTATTCAACAGTCTCAACTGCCAGCCCTATCTATGAAATTTGAGGAAGACATCGTAAGATAATACAAAATACCCTGGAAAATAAGTAAGTACACATTTGGTATAGTTCATCAGACTCATCATGTATGACTTGGACCACTTTCTTCACGATTTAAATCACTGCACCAGAACCTTTTGTTTCTAACTGAGAGAAAAATCTTTACTCATGTTGAAGTGGCCTCTGTAAACAACATGACTTCTTAAAAATACTTACAAATTTTGAGCACAAACTGTTGAACTACTTCAGTGCATTTTAGATGAAACTAACCTTTACTTTATTTCAATTATCCTGTGAAAAAGGTGGAAAATTACCTTGTTCAAAACTGAAGATTAAATGGATTGAAATCTGACACCATTAACTGCTTATAGAATACAGTTTGTGAAATTTTTACATGCGCAAATACCACTGACATATTTTACCGCAACTGGCTTTCTGTTAATATAAGTTTTCAAACATTTACTGCAAGTAAAAAAACCTAAACATACCTTACTGTGAGGATCAGCAAACATTCTTGTGAAGATTTCACACAACCTTTTCAACTCAACACGACTGTCAAAGTGACAACAATACATTAGTCAACTCCCCTGGTAGTACTACCAGAACACTAATGCATAGCAATCAGTGAAATCAACTGTAAAGATTGAATCAAATAATCTAGTAAATGAAGTAGAAAAAAGCATTTTGTTTAAGACATGGATAAAAATGTAAAGATTTTGTCTAAAATGAGACTTTCAACCTGGAAATGTCTCTTTAAACTAATTCACATATTAAACTATTCCCAACTATTTTAACAGAGCAGGTAATGAAACAGGTATTCTTAGTAGCTAGTAGTAAACACTTTCTTCTGAATAAATACCCAATTAATAATGATGATGATAATAATATTATTATTATATGATAAATAAATAAAAATAAAGGCCTTCCATCAATATTAGATGCAAGCACTTTAGGAATCTTTTGTATTGCAAGAATTCTCCTGATTTTAAATTCAATTTCTTAAACTGAACTTTTTAAACAGATCCTGTACAGCAGTGGCCAGAAGTGACAAGAGCTTCCTCATTCCTTCCCCCATGTTACTCTCACGGACACACATCCTGCTTTCCCTCTCCCCAACTTTCCATATACTTTAGAACGTTGGCCTCCTTTCCTACTTCCCTTGCCTCACTTCAACTCTGAAAGAAAATGTTTTTCTGTTAACATGTCTTCTTACCTTAAAGTTCTCTGGTTCTTTAATAAGTTTTGCAGGCCTAGAAGGCCTTCTTTTCTCTCTGACCAGTTGGAGCTGGCACAGCGATTTAGGACTTCAGCCACATCTTCTGTCTGTCTCATATACGTTGGTATACTTCCATTCCTAGAGCTATAGGACCTTTCTGAACAGGCACTTGATGCATCACTGTTGGCATCATCATCTGAGTACATCCCATAGGACTCATATCTTCTTCGCACAGGCTTCTTCTATTGTACAGAAACACTCCACATTAGTACTGATTCTCAAACAGACAGTATACATATCCATAATCAGTAGAAAGACCAACAGTTCAAGTAATTGGTGTGACCCCTACTCCCTGCAGTGACAAATGGCTCCAACTGTTCAATAGGTCAAACCGAGTTAATAAAAATATTTTAAAGTACGGCTTGTGTTGTATTCCAAATATAAAAGCAAAGCAAATGCAGAGAAGACATACGTTTGATGAAACGTTCAACTTAAAGTTTACTTGTAAAATCCATAAAATTGCATTATAGGGTGACATAAAGACTGTACTGAAAGTTAGTTATTTCACTTAATAACTTTATACATGTTACAAAATATAAGAATCAGGTCTAAACCCACATATTCTGTCATTTTAACTTACTTTGTATCAAGCATGTTAGCAAAATATTAAACTACTGAAGAAGGAAAATAGTTTCTATACCTTAGTCCGTATGTCTCCTAAGAGCTGTTAGCAGTAAATTATTGAAAAGAAAGAAATTGAGAACAGGAAGGTAAGGCATAGCAGCATTGTGACTACTAAACTACCTGCCACTGGAAAACATATTGTAAATTTTGTTCTTAGCTCTCTGTATCTGAGTAGCATATCATGCACTGTCAAGAAGTAGTTTGCTAAGCTTCCACTTCCAGGGAAATATTACGTATCATCTGCTGGTTGGTCACAAAGACTTCTCTGTCAAAATCTTTGTGTCTTATGCAGTGATATTTGAGCATGAAGACTTAACACTTGCAGTCAATTGCTATCTAAGTATGAAACCTTCATTTAAATTTTATTTTCCCATCAACTTCTTCATCTCTAACTTCATTTCAATATCTAAATTTTGTCATTGCAACAATTACTACAGCAATGTCCTACAAAAAAATTAATTACATAATGCAAAATCCCAAATCCCCCAAAACCAAAAACAAGCCAACAAAACAAAACAAAATGTGCCAAAGCCCAGAGGAAAAAAAATATGCTATTTATCCTAAAAAAAAAAGCACACACCTCTGCAAAATAACTCTGCCATTTAGATTTTGGTGTTGAAGCTAGTTAAAAATTTGATTTCATTACATACTCAAAGAAGCAGTGGCATAAGTGACTGTTTTCCCCTTAATTACCATTGCCATTTGCACAGGGTTGTCATTTTTGACTGCAGAATAACTTAAAGGCCATTGCAATACCAACTAGTCAATACACCATGTAACAAACAAGCTTATTGTCAACAGAATAAGCATACATATACATGTAAGAGAATGAAGGAAGGGATACATCACAAAGACATGAGCATTTTTTAAAAGGGTCACCATAAGTAAAAAAAAAAAAAAATTAAAGAAATAGGATCTGAAATGTCAAGGACTGTGCTAAAGTAAAAGGTATAAAAATATGTAAAGATCATCATATTGCTGCATTTCATGTGTCTTATATTCAAACCAGATTTAGCCAGAAGACACATACCCCTTTGGCTTGAGCAGTATTATAACTGGCTGAGTATTTTTCATACCATAAAACCAGTAATACAATCCAGGATATTTTTGGCTTTTCTATTACGTTTCTCAGGACTCTACATTCTACCTTTTAAAAACACTGTTCTGGGTGGCGGGGGGGGGGCTGCAGTTTATGATAAAACAAGAAGGGTTCATAACCAGATTTCCATCTAAATGGAGCCATTTGTACAGGACAATCTGTACATTTAGAGCATGGCAAGCAACCACCAGGCATGCAAATACTACAATAATCAAGTGTTGCTGTTCTTGATCCTTCTTTGTAATGACAGATTCTAGCTAAAATATACAAACTGATTTTTCTCTAACATTTCTAGAAGCATCATGCTATTTTGGATTCAGGTAATACTAACCAGTTTCCATGAACAAACTTTATTACTTCAACAAAGCAGGACACATTCAAGCCTCAAGAGCAGTCACTGGAAGCATGAGTTTCTCCTCAATTTATATTTTTACTACATACTTTGCCCAGCTAAATTTGAATACGCTATGAAGCTGCTAAAAGTACTAAAGATACTCTTCATGTAACACCAGTGCAGATGAATCTATAGCACAGGCTTTCAAATTATAGCCAGAAACTTTTCATGTTCAACGGACTGTTTTTCTTTTTTTTGTTCCCTATTCCAAAATCCAGACTGACTTCCAGTTTACTAACTAGCATTCCCCATCAACACTGAAAACTTTTTACAAGTTTACAATATCAGGAAGGGGAAAAAGCACTCTATCTCACCATGACCTCTTAGGCAAGATTTCAAGATATCCTGATCGCTATACCAGTGAAGGCACATGAATTTTAAACTAATGTGCCAAGAAGACAGTATTAACCAAGCAATCAATAAATTGCCAGACTAAGAACATGACAGTTCTTCAGATTTTTTTCCTTTGAAATTTTGTTTCTCTCTATCCAGTCATATCTAGCTAGAATTGAATTTTTTAGAGTCTAGTTTGTAGTTTTTTTACTAAGGTTCCAAATAATCTTTTTGTTAAAACAGAGTCATAGCAAATTCCTTAAAGCATTCTGATAACTAGATAACAGGTACTTACAAATATTTAATGATATGCAAATAGTATACAATACCTGATAAAAATGTATCTGACTCATAGCATCAGTATTTTAAATTAATTGAAGATTTCAGCTTGGTGATGTAAATGTCAGAATAGCAAAACACATGATGAGTTCAGTTTGGCTAACTGGGGCAGGGAGGTAGAGGAGCCAAACCCACCCTTTTAAAGAACAGTAAAGGTTGAGAAAGAGAATGGTATAACCAGTTTTAAATTCAGAGTAATGTTTTGAAAACAAAAGAAAACAAAAACTAAACTTATGAAATGCTGCCTGCCAAGCCATTAGGTCATCTCTTCAGCATCAATCTCATGTTGTCAGAGAGAACTTTAAATGGAACCCAGGCTTATGACAAGTAGAGTGCTTTAGCTGTCATCATTCCCAGCTCTGACAAGCCTTCAACCTATCCAGAAGTTGTCCGGCTGTTGTGGGGAAACCATTGGTTAGTGCTACCTGCTCAAGTGGCTCCTTGGGCCACTCCAACAGAACAGTCCAAGACTATTTCCTTTCTGCCATGGAAAAATGTACATTTCTGAAAAGTTTAAGACTTCCGTAGGGAACAAAAATTCCAATACTTTGCAGCTCTAGCAATTCAGTTTCTCTTTTTTCCCCACCTAGAAGCCAATAAAATTATGAATGACAAGTTCTTTTGCATACTTTAATGGAGAGGTACCAAACATTTTAAGAGTCTCTGTCCTACACAAGGTAAGTGCAAGATTCTTACCAAAGCATCTGCTACTGCCTCTTCCACGTCAGAACCCGTGTTCAGAACTCGCATAGCACTAACTGATGACGACAATCTACTTGACTGACTAATTCCAAAGCCCGTACCTGTTACAACAACAACAAAAATGAATATAAAGAATTCAGTCAGAATAGCAATGTGGGACATTAATACCACACTCACTTAAAAAAAACCCAAGCAGAAGAAAAGCCTTTGCTTAACATTTCTAATAAATTATGTAGTGGCTAAAATACTGGTTCATTTCATTCCAAAGTCTTTAGTGGTGCAGCAAAAAGTAAGAAATGAAGTTAAAAAACCAATCATGTACAAACATCCTATTCCAATATCACAGGGAAAAAACCCCACAAAACAGTGGTTTTAACTGAAAGAACCTTTTTTTTTAATTAATGTCTTCTTCATTTCGGGTTTTTGTTTTCATTTACAAAGAAAGCAAATACAATAGGAAGGCTATTGAAAGTGCTGATTAGAAAACTACATGCATAAAGAATGCTCTACAAATACTGAAAAATGGAAAACTAAAGTTCTTCTGCAAGTAAAAATAAAATTACAGTTGTTAAGGAAGAGAAGGATTAAAATTGGAGGGTGGGGTGGAGACGAAATCTAGCAACATAAACACATCTATCCGGATTATTAAAACCACAAAACTCAAATTAATATAAATAATGCTTTTTAAAACTGAACTATGAGAATAACCAAGTGGGTGGCGAAAAAAAAAATCCAGGATGACTGCACAGATGACAGCAAAGTGTACTCATCCTTCACCTGTAGCCCCATAAACATCAGGAGCGTAGAGGGCACCAGTGGATCTGGAGTGATGTCTGGAAGCTGCAATAACAGGATCATATAAACCCTATCTATTACCATGGAATCAGTGCTGCAATAGTTGCTTAGATGAACAAGAATATTTATCAAAAAGATTCAGCTTTAGCACAAGAAACAGTATTACACAGAAGGAAAAAGCTTCAGAGAAATTCTTTGATTATACAGAATATGATTGTATAGAATTATATAGGTTTATGTACACTGGACATTTCATGCATAATTTTTTTAATTTAAAAGAATAAGAGCAGATTCAAAGCAAGTATGTTTAAGTTCAAAGAAGAAAAAATGCACAGACACACATGCACACGCGCACACACACACACAGACTCCTCAGAAATATCCAAAAAGTTCCACTGATACTGGTCTTCCATTGTAGAGTTAACTCAATTCTACACGCTCAAGTCAGAGCCAGAGCTCACATACCAAACATTATCTGCAAAAAGTGACTCCTGCACGAACTTATTGTGTTAGCAGCCGACAATTTGTATAAACTTGAGTTCTTGCCTATGTGCTGATAAGTCAACCTCAGTTAAAACTCATCACTATGTAGATGAAAGTTAAAATTATTCGATTTTAATTAAAAGTTTAAAATAGTTTAATGCAATTAATAGTTCACATTTATATCATTTTCTTTAAATAATTAAAATGTGAAATTGAAACATTTATGTTAGTTACTATAGATCATTAAGATTCTTTAAAGTTATGGAAAGTGGGAATCAAAGATCCTTAAGAACTTTTGAATAAAACTGAGTACCCTCCTTCTTCTTGCACTTGTATAAAACTGGTCTTTTAGAGATTCTAAAGACGTTAACTCACCATTGCTAATATTTTCTTTCTTGGTTAACCAAGTAATTTTAAATTCAATGTGTTTTTAAACAATTCAACTTCTTTCTTCAGTTCACTCAAGTTAGAATTTTACAGCCACATAAATGGAGCTGGTTTTGACAATTTTAACTCGAATTCAAATGTCCACCCACAGTGACATAAACCCCAGATGTAATCTTATGATTTAATAAATAACCGTAAATGCAAATATTTTACACCTTTCGGGTACATAAAGTAGTATCAATAGAAACCAGGAATCAAATGAATCATCCTTTACTCCGACAAACATAGACAATTTAAGAGTCTGACTTGAATCAAATAACCCTGACACAGACCAAATCACATGTGGGGAAGCACACCTCTTAACCTGAGTGAACTCCAAAGTAAGTCCTGTAAAGGTCCCGGAAACAACATTGTGTTTTTTCCACCTGAAGTTCTCTACTCCTTACATAAGGCACAGCAATGTATTTTATTTCAAACTAAACCTGCATGAAGCTGTTTAGCTAGGGAATTTTATTTTGCAATCATGCTTTGTGGAATTCGTGGTTCTTTAGAAAGTAAGTCTCAGCATGGAAAAGGAGACGGGACAGAGGATGTCAAAACACAGGCATCAAGGCTGATAGAGCTTTAAATACAAGCAATAACAGGATTAACCTTTCTATTGCTTTCCATCAACAAACCCTGAAAATTAAAGGTACGATTAAAAATTCAAACTTTAAGCATATAACTCAAGATGATCCTGCCCCCATATACTTTTGAAATATGCTGGACAAGTTTTTAACACAGTGAAAGGAAGCACTATATTGGATCAAACATACCTCATTCTAAAGCACATTTTCAAGAATATTCTTTGTACCCCCTCAAATTGCAGAAATAGTGCAAGTATTTACCTTTGTTGTTTCATTTTTTTGAAAGGTGAATCATAATAAGATTTTACATGGACTCTTAGCTACAATATGGAAATTATACTAATCTGATATTTAATATTAACTATATGTAACAGAAGAATAGGCACTTCCATATAAACTACAAATCACTTGCTTCTCAGAGTGGCTGTTATCCCCCAGTTTATAATGTTATACTGAGATGTGAGATTACATAGACACTTCATACCAATGTATAGAGAGAAGCAATTACATAGCATTTTGGTCATTTTATGCCCCAAAGGGCTTAGCATTTGTAAGCAAAAATTTCTGTGCTGAGAATCAGACACAACACAAATTACATTCCCCCCTCCAACCCCATGTAAAACTGTCTCTAGCTACAAACACAGAGCTGAATTTGCCTTATTTCATCTTCCACTTGTACCCTTGAAAAACATTAAATTTAATATTTTTTATAGAAGTTAATAGCATCCCATAAGACAAAACTGGTCCAACAAAACACAGAATGACATTCAAAATCATTCAAATAAGAAGTCATACTAGAAGGAATCCTAGGAATCCTCATTTATTCCAGGTATAGCTGCTTTTTTTTTTTTTTAAACAACACTGGATTCCTATACACGCTACTTTGCATTCTCTGTACTATCAGACAATTCAACCTATTGTATCTGTCTAGGTACTTGTTTTGATATCTGAATAGAAAAATTAAACTCCATCAATAAAAATAAAACCTCAAGCAGCATCCGTCACAATGACCCATCTTATGGTATTAGTTTAATACAGATTTCTTAAGATAACAAGCATTTGACCAAATAGAAAATGTAAATCAGATCTCGCATGCATGCAACTGAAGTCAAGCTGTAAGGTAGCAAAAGAAGCACAAAAATATCTGGAAAATACCCTCGTTTTTAAAAGAAAAGAAGATATGTGTGTACTACGACACAGTCTGCCAGCTGTGTTTTAGTAAAAGATACAAGTTTACTAATGGATCCTGCATAATGTCTGCTTCTAATTTAATTTCCCAATTAAATAGCATCTGGGCAAATTAGCATTAGTTACTGAACAACAGCTTTCATTCAATTAATCTGTACTTTTCCAATAAAATCAAGGCTGACAGGAAGCATACTGCCTTAACAGACCACAATAGACTTCCAATGCTAATTACGAGTGCAGCCAGGTGCTTCAATTTGAAATAGAAACCAGAGATTTACTATTTTCAGACTATGTTTAACAGCTAGTATTACAAAGTCCTTAACTGTAAGCTACACTTGAACAAAAAAAAAAAAAAAAAAGAGGGATACATACTGAAGACTAACTCAGACAAAGATAACACCAAAAGAGATCAGTTTCAGATACAGTCTTACAGAGACAGTTTTGTATTACCAAACAATCAAAAAAACCCCCAAAATGTAAAAAGACTTTATCAAAATTTACTACCAACTTCATAGTAACCTTGACAAGGATAACAGGGAGATGAGAACCTTCCCTAATCCTTAACCAACAACATGTTAAAATAATTATAAGCTAATGTTCCTATGCCTTATTGACATTTCAGAAACAGACAACAGCTTGACAAACTTGCAAAATCTTTTAAGTGTCAGGTCAATAAGCTTAAATACTAAGTGAAAACAAAACTTTTGCTTATAGCAGCTCTAGGAATGAGGACTGAACATGGCTATGCATGTGTGACTGTTAAAGTTTTCAATTCCTCTCTTCCCTATGTAACAACAGCTGCTACTTTAATTACTTATCACTTGTTCTACACAGATTAAAAGTAAACTTCAGAACTGTACTTTGGTTCATCTACTTGGACAAGGACTTTGCTACTTGCCCTGTTCATTTTTAGAAAATGGAAAGCAGCCTCAGAATACAGTTCTGCTTCAGTGGATTGGTCCCTTATCTGCACCATCATATTTACTTGCTTTAATAGCAAAAAGTTAAATTTTTTATTATTTTTTCACGTAATACAGCAATGACAGTATAGCTAAGGAGACATAAAATGAAGCATATTTTCTTCTTATACACCAAAATGATTCATTGACTAGGGAGCAATTTTGAATACTAGCAGACCCTAGCTGTTGATGCAGAGAAAGGCAGGATGGCAGCCACACTTTATTCTTTGCTCTAGCTGGTCAGTGAGAAATGGATTATCTAACTGCACCCAAGCAATGAGTGCTGTAATAAAAAGAGAAACACGTAATTTCAAAAACTTTCCAAAAGCAGAATTGCCCTTTCAAAAAAAGTCTCTAGGCGCTGCTTATCGCCCACCTTTCCAGACTTGGTATTTAAGATAAGACTAACACTAGGTAAAGCGTTTATTTTTCAAGTGTGCAACCCATTCACACATTGGTCAATTCTCCATCGAACTAAGTGGTGAGTGAGCCAAAGGAAGGGAAAACAATGGTGGCCAGTTACAAGCTGAATGAAGGAGGCACGGATTCGTTAGGTGCAAATAATGAAGGGCAAAGACAGCCATGCACAACAAGGGGCTCTGAGTACTTACCAAGGGGCGGAAAAGAGCGGACAGGGCTTGTGTCCCTGCTACTTTCACGGCTGGCCTCCCGACTGCACCCCTGACTCACACTAGGCCGAGGAATGCGGCTGCCTCGTGCTAGTATGATTCAGGGTACAGACAAACAGCAGCACAGAAGGGAGAAGACATAAGAAAAGTTGCAGTTTTAATGCAATTCTGTTTTGCAGTAAGATCAAAGACGTACTTCTAAGAAAAGACACTGACAATTATGTCGTATTGTAAGTCATAACTGTTTCCACACACTTTCTTGATTGTGCTGGATTATACTAAGTGTAGCCAGTTCAATGAAATTATTTCTTCGCACAGCTAAAAATGGTGATTTACCAACTCTTTACAGAATAGTTGAAAAACCTCTTGAAAAGGACGGAGAGGAAACAAGCAACAAAAAATATGAACAGAGTATTGATTCAGAATTTGTGCTCAAGATCAAGTTAATCAACAGTAACGCAAATGAAAAAAACCACAGCTTTCCAAAGAAGGAAAATATAAAGTTAATACAGCTAAGGTAAAAATCAAAATACAAAACAAAGAACAGCAGCAATGCCATTAAAATCAACTGATATTTTTCAATAATATTGCTTGTAACAAAGTGTAATCAGGTTATACCGTGAGGTTTAATAAGTATGACATTCGTTTTTGTATCATAGAAGTATACATATGCACGCACACATACGCAGAAGACACAGAAAAGTAATGAAGGAAATAATCTTTTCAAAACGGTATCACACTTTCATTCAATGGATGTGGGTATTTTGGGGGTGGGGATAAGTAGTGAAGGAAAGTGAAAGAGAAGGAAGAAAGGGAGGTGAGGAAAAGAACAACTACTGCATTCTGACAGCAAAGAAATAAAAGATTCAGCTTAAATTTAAAACCCTCTTGTATATCAAAGACTAGTCTCAGAAAACAGGCACATTTTAGATTTTTATCGATACATATTCTAATTTTATCATCGACCTATAACTAAATGCAAGCTGTAGATATCCAGCACTTAAAGTAAGAAGGGCTATAAAGAAACCAAAAGTTATTCAGTGGTTCTTACCTACTGACAATCTAGAAGGACTAGCTTCTCTACTGCATCCCTGACTTCGTGGGATTTTGCTTCGTTTTTGTGCAGTTGCAGGATTCACTAACACTCTCTGAACTCCTGTGTTCATAGTGGAAAGTGTGGTTGTTGTCAAAACTCTTCCAGGAGACCCAGATCTACTGCCAGCTGAAGGCAAGATGAATAAAATATAAGCAACAGCATAGAAGATAAACAACCATGGTTAAAAAGAAAAAAATGCTTCAAGTTAGTAGGACAGTGGTGGTAGATTGAAATGGTCTGGAAAAACTTACAAGATAAAAATGTGAAATAGAAAACCTGGTCAAAGTTCTTATAGCACTACGTACAAGGTAGATAAACTTACAGTGCAAGGAAGCACTTGGCATGGTATTTAGCACTAGATATGCTCAAGAAACCATAAATAATGTTTCTAGTCTTCATCAAGAGTTCCAACATCCCTAATATGAACATTGGTGTGTTCATTTTTTAAGCTACATGGTCTCACTAATCACATTTTCTATTAAAAAAAAAATAAAAAAAAGAAAAGAACTGCTAGAAAGCTAAAGGGAGCAAGTTTAAACTAGTGATTTCATAATTATCTCAGCTCTTCAGATGCAATCAATGATATAATAAAACAAATGATATAATAAAACATCATTTTCCTAACATTTAAACTCTTCTCCCTTGCTTTTAAAAGCATGGGGTCTTGAAGCACTACTCTCTGAGAAGTTAAATAAAAATCTCACTGAAGTCAAATAAAATACACTTCTGTGGAGGTTACCCCACAAATTCGAAGAAAATTTTCAATTAGCTTTAAATAAGCTAAAAAATTGATCAAGACTTGTTTAAGCATCCTTTATTTTTAGTAATCAAAACTGTAGATTACAAAGTGCTATAACTGTTTGTTTCAACACACTGTACCCACTACCAGAAACTGGTCACTGATCCCCAATGTTGATATTTCAGTTACAGAAAAGTTAAGTTCTAAGCCCTAACACAAAATCCATTCTCTAGTTATAACGAATTTATACCACCAGTTGATACAAATATAGTTTCCAGCTGCAGAATTCAAGAAGTCTGACCAAATAAAAAGCAAAACATAATTTTAACCAAAGGTTAATTACATACAGATATGAACCTTTCACTAATCTTTTAAAAATAATCAGGTAACCATATGACCACAGCTACGCTATCAGATCTATAGACTTAACATGCAACATCTCAAGTGAGTTTAATGAGTTACTTATGAGGCACATTTAAAAAAGATACAAGTTGATTAAAGCTTGATCATATAGGAAAAGAAACAAAATCCCAAACAAAATAAAACATATGCTGGGTGGAAGGGAAAAAACTAAAACAATGTACCATGCATATACTTTCAGATTCATTGTTTGAATTCAAACTTGAAATGATTATTTAGCAAAATCCCTTTTCCAAACTATGGAACTATTCAGCAGAAATGATAAATAAAATATTTCACAGCCTGGGAAAAACAAGCATAACTTCTATAGCGAAAAAAGAATAGGCAAATCCATAAAATTGCTGTGGTCTGCAAAAATTAAGGGTTTGACAGTTTCTTCATATCAGGGCATTTCAACTTAGACCTGATATTACTATGCCTTCTTCCTAGCCTCCAATATTTTCTTTCTCTTTAAAACAATGAAAATATTGTAAAGGTTCTCACTGTGCCGGAGACCTTTAGAAGATTTTCCTAAATAGGTCAGAAACCTCAAAAACTTAGTCTTCTCAGAATATAGAGAAGAAATGCAACCTCTCATTCTAGTACTTTATTTATCTTTCTATTGTCTGACCTGCAAAGTGTACCACTATAGCGTAAATAAACCAAATGAAGCTTAATATCCTGAAAATATTATGCTAATAACAGCACTGACATACTGTTGTCAGTACTACCGCCAGTAGTAGATCTAAGTGAACTGAACAATGAAAGAAGGATTACTAAAACAGTATTCCAAAATGACAAAACCCACCCATCTCTACTGCCTTCAAAATAAGGATTACATCCAAGTAGGTAAGTGCAGCATATGGAAAAAAGCGAGCCAGAATTTCTGCTGAATAGGGTCCTTAAATGAGATATGTCAAACAGGTGATCAAACAATGACGTATACACAAATTCTGTAGACTCTTACCACCAATGGGGTTAGCAGACTGTGATCCTGAACAAGTGTAAAGGCAGGATTAGGGTAGGGGTTTATATTCCATGAAGAGGGAGGGAGCAGAGCAGATTAAAAAATGGATGGCAAATGGAAATAAGAAAGCTTTAGTCATTTCACACAGGAAAAAAAGCCACAAGGGGGTTATGCTAAAGCAGTGCTTTTAAGTAGCTTCCACAGTTGAAGAACTAAACTCAGATGCTATATGTACAAAGCAGATGAAGCAAAGCTGCACAAGCAAATTACAATTCTTCAGTTTTCTAATCAACAACTGGATAATACTGAAGAATTAAATTTCAATTCAACATGAAACTGTCATATTACTTTAAAAGAATATTACATTGCCAAAAAGGTTCAAGAAGTTCAGCAGCTGAACAAAAATTACACACAAGGCCAAAACTTTTTTTTTTTTTTTTTTTTGAGACAGACAGTAAAGGAACTGAGCTGCAGGTGCGGTGGATGACAAAAAAAAAAACTCACAATGGCACAACTGAAAAGACTTGCATAGAATTTCAGGTTTTCCTCTTTCAAATTAATCTGAAGTATAAAAGTAAGAATTTGTTTCCATTCAGAAATTTAATTCTTTTTCTCTGAATGAAGATTGTAATGTAATTTTAGCACGCCCTGCTGAATTACCTGACACCAAACAGGAAGGGAGAGGAAAAAATGGAACAATTTTTTTCCATAGGTAAGAATAAAATAATGAGCTATAGATTGTATATGCATTTTTTACGTTACAATTTAAAAATAGAAGAGGATTAGTAAAGGGGTTCTAAAACCCTAAAAAAGTATTTTTTGTAAAAGCATTCAATTTTGCAAGTCTTTCATAAAATGAACTTTGAACAAAAGTGCTAAATAGTTGTAACCCTAAATTTACAAAAGCATCTGTGTTACAGTGGTTTTTAAAAAATAAAAGCTTAAATCTATTATGAAGTTATTTTCCCACTATAAGCTGGGGAACTAAAACAATCCCCTATATGGAAACATCAAGCATCTCGCTCCCCAGAATGCTGTGAAAATTTTCAGTCACATAAAGAAGCATCACCCAAATCGCTGGCATACAGTGCCTGACAATTCTCCTTCACCATTGTATTTGCCCTGTTTATCTTCCTTGAAACATCTCAGAATTCTTGTTCTCCCCCACTGACGGGTTATAATGAGCTATCTGAAGCCATCAGTTCTGAACAGAAGTAGTAATAAAAGGCTGTAAAGATGCATTCAATTTTCACACATCATCACATGTAGACAAATCTAGTTGTTTCGGTATCAATTCAACTTATCTCTTTAGATATTAATACTGTGCAAAAATGAATTCTCTTGGAAAAAACTGTCATTATTAGTAAAAAGAAACTGAAAAAGCTTGTTTGTTTCCCTGAATATACAGTCAGTTTAATTACTATTATATGACAATGATAATCACAAGTCTTATATCGCTACCTAAATTTAATCCCTCCCCCAAACAGCTTATCAAACCCCTTAACTTTTTAAGAATTTACCAAATCTATTCAAAGTACAAAGGTATTCTCAAAAAGCTTATTTCAGAACTTTCCTAATACTAACAAAAAGAGCGTTACAGATACTGCTTACAGCTTTTCATAAAGGGAAAAAGTAATTTGATGGGACTGTTACCTCCCCTCCTCCTTAAATTATTAATCCAAATATTCTTTGCTTATGATATAGTGTAGTCATCTTAACACTGAAAACGTAAAACAAGTTTTGCACAACCTTTCTCACAGCCAATAACTAGACTTTATTTTCAAGCTCTCATCCCACAAACACTTGTGGGATTAGAGCACTGTCAAAGCAAAAAATGACTTAAGAGAACTTCTGTTATTGGATTTTATTATTTTATATTTAGCTGTTCAGATTTTTTAAAGTTTTATTTCACAAAACCTGCGAGCATTGGATCAGGTTTGATCCAACTGTATTTGTTGGAAAATGAAGTAATGCAAAACTGAATGGGAAGTATTCTAACAGGTAAAAAAGCCAAAAAACTCTTTTACTTGCTTTTTTAACCTCTAAAGTAATTCTATTTATGATAAATACAGTCATTGCTATGAAGATAAATGTTTCTACCATTAAACACAGAATTAAGGGCTTTTATTAAAAGAAAGTGCATCTGGTTACTGATTGCAAAATAATTGTAGTAGAAAATTCAAAAGCTGTGTAATTTACTGGATTTATAACATTAGACCTGACAAACTATAGGACTGGTTAGTTTATTTTAATTTTATTGTTAATTTGCCTTCCTTTCATTAATTTCATTGCATTTCACTTAATTAGACAAAGATGAGACTCTGAAAACACTACAGAGCTTAGTCAGAAGATGTCTGTTGGAGACATCAGATGTGTGAACAAATTGCTGTAGGTCAGCCAGAGCCAAAGAATGTGAGGTAATCAAGTCTTTTTAATTAATGTCAGAGTGCTCAGCTAGATGGGAAATTTTGCATTTGCTTTGGTTTCTAAATACACATAGAAAATTACTGTGGATTAGCTGACATACAGTAAATTGCTTGTTTTAACCCTTTGATTCAATATAAGCTAAGTAACTGATTATAAAGGTGGGGTTTAGTATTTTTACTCCAAAGAAGAGTTCAGTAAAGGTAACAGCTGTAATACAAAAAAAGGAGTATATATCCAAGAGTTAGACTAATGCCTAACTTAAAATGAAAATAGGTATTTCTGGCTGAAAAATAGGACTTTTTGAAAAATGAAAAATTAGCTTTTGCAGGTAACACTGAGGACACCATTCAGCCTACCCATTCTTCTGTATTATTCATCCATGTGTCATATGCAACTGACAGAAGTTTACTGGTGTTTCGTGTTGGGGAGGTCAGAAAGGGGGGGAAAAGAATCTTGAGAAGTTATAATTGAATACAGAATTTAGGGGTAGATTTCATTTTGTGTTACATTATCTAATTTAATTGGCAAACTAAGAACTAACCTAGTATTTTGTCCAGAGAAAACAACATGAATTAGAAAAGCATGCAAATACCACTGACCCAAAACACTGAAAAAAATACCTTCATTTTTGTCTGGCGATGATGAACCTAAGGCACAGAACAACAACTCAGTATGTAGCTTTTTTAAAAAATTAACTTTGACTGTAGCCATTGGTCAATGAATATATGCTTAAGCATTTGGCCTCTTTATCAGGTATAACTGACAAATAGAAAATACATACGCTGAGACTGTGACACCACTTTGGTTCTACTCCGTCCTCTGGAATCTGTTTTAGAATTTCCAATACCAACAGAAGGCGTTGAAAGCTTTGTTCGTACACGACCTATAAAAGAATGATGGCATTAAATCAGTTTTTCACAGTAATGTAGAAAGCAAAGCATCAGTAGCATTTACTAATGTATTTTCTTAAGTTTCTGTGATAAAAAAGCAGCATAACATAACTCAATTGGTGAAAATTCGCTTGGGATAATTAGTAGAAATTTGAACACCTTGAAGGACTTAATAGTCGAGGAATCAAAATACTTCTCCTCTGATGCTACATGTTTCAGTAAGCAATTTACACATAATTTAAATACCCTGAACTAGCTATGTAGTTCTTGCTTCCTGCACAAATAGGGTGATTATATTTTAAAAAGTGAAGTTTATTAAATATAATAGGCAATGCATACGCTAATGTTGCTGTATCAGGTACAGTCTTCTCATGATTCCTTGTGGTTGTAATTCTACTTTTGCTGTCGTAAAACTACAAAAATTATGTTGACTATTTTTTGAATAGGGTTCTGAGGTTTCTTCCTAACTTCACTCCTCTTTTTAGAAATCTCAATACTAGCTTTCCTGTTACCGAAGATTCTACTGTTTTCCTGGCCACAGTCATATAGACTTCTACAGGATTTCCCAAGCCTTTTACGGCATTTTGCAAAGACTAAGTACAATTAAGTACTTCTCGGTGACCACATGATACAAGGAAATACTACTCTCCTCAACAGACAGAAGAGCTGAGGAAGAGACATTAAACCAAGTATCTACAACTAAAACAATAGATTCGCTTCTCTCTAGAATGCCAAACTGTCTTGGTTTTGGGTTAAACCTTTCTCCATTATTAGCCATGTTCCTCATAACATCCAGAGTATACAATGAAATTACAAAAGAAAGGAAGACCCCAGTTGGATGAATTACAGGTTACCGAAAGATCGTTCATAAAAGAAAATAGTAGAGTTGTGTACTACATTTCCAAAGCCAACCTCTCAACAGAAAAATGAAACAAAAACCAAAACCATGCTAACCATAGTTCTTATAAGTTGCAAGAACAAAACCCAAAAAGCTTGTACAGGGTGGATCTAGCTCAACAAGTAATCCACTTTTAAAAACAGCATAATTAAAATATCTTCTAGACATGTAGAGTCAATATTTGACCCAGAAGAATTAGATACACAGACTGTTATTTAGTTCTAGCCTCTTTAGGCTTTCCACAGCAGAATTTGGAGACCAACCAAGTTAATATTATTCATCCAAGTAGAGGGAATAGCCATAGATGAGAGTCTATAAGAAGAGAATCAGGATAAAGGAGGTTATTCACTAAACTATTTTAGAAAACAATACACTAGTAAGAACGGTTAGATTAACTAGTCCAAATGCTACTAGTTATCCCCGTGCAATGGCAATGTTTTCCCACTGAGTGCTGTGAGACCACAAGGCATGTAACTGCATTCAGAATTTGGCCCAAAAACTTAGGAATACAGAGTGCCACTATTTCGATACTACATTAAATTACCGCTTGGAACCCGGTTCAATTTTATTGAAGTAAAAAAACAGTTTGTATTTGTGAGGCAAATGAACTGTTAAGTCACTTGGAGTCTCTACATCCATTCACTAACGATAGGTTTAAACGTTAACAGTGTATTGAAAATGAATTCCCAAGTCTCAGAGATGAGTAATAGTAGCACCTGCTTCCCAGAGCATGAACACATTTGATGAAATATTCTGTGACAAGATTCGCTTTAAAAAACAAATGCAAAATTACAAAGCTCCTATATTTTCACACTAAAAATGTTAAGCAATGACACTTCTACTGCAGATGAGAACTTGAGAATTAAAATAAAAGCAAAAGAATTTTAAAAGTACTATGTGACGACCAAGTATTAAATGCATAAGCTATCTGGAGTTATGAACCTCCACAAAGCCCCAGAAAGACCACATTCTACTTTTAAAGCTTAATTTGTATCAATGAAAATATGAAGCTGAAAATATTAGCTATTCTAACAAAATATTTTCTTACCATCTTCAGAAGCTGTTCCTAAACAGAAAAATAATAAAATACATGATATTCCAATCAATACTGTGTCTCTCAAATTCCTTGTTGAGATTAATCTCATGAATCTTGACAAATTTTATCAAGTCAAGAGGTCTAAAGCTTTTGTGTTGCAACTCCATTATCGAACTGAAGCAAAATTATCAAGAAACATCCATGCTATACTGTTAGTGATTTACAATATATAGCACTGCCTTCCAAACTTGTTACAAAATCACCAAAAAAAAATCAATAGAAAAAAAAAAATCCATGAGATAAATCAACAAAATTACATGTACAGATCAAAACAGACATTAAAAATATTTTAGTGCAAGCTCTTCTGAAAATATAAAACATACTATTATAAATTATCTCAGAGAAAAACACAAGGACAGTGTTTCGCACACTGGACAGTGATAATTTGATAGGAACTGCCAGCAAGGAGGATTTCTCTGAATTTAATCCATGATTACTCTGAAGATCTACATGCACAAGATCAAGTTTTGCTCAGAGAAGTGGAAGTAATATGAGCTTGAAAAAAACAGATCACACTTGAACAAGTACGCTAAGCTTAACAAGGCTGGATTATGACAAAATGAGTCAGACAAATCTTTTTACTGACGTCACTACCTAGGAATTGATGGGAAGCTATCTAAACAGCAGTCCTTCCTCTCTCTAAGTTCCTTTGAAACAAATCTGATTATGGAATAAAATATATACTACTAGTGATAAAAATGTTAAATTCCTTCAAAAAAATCAAAGGGTATTTCCATTTTTTTTTTTCACTCTCTGCCACTTCTGCCTTGTGAGAGAACTACAATGATTAAAACGTCTGTTAGTGTCTTTGGCTAGCCTGAACTTAACTTTCTCAGCAAATCTGGCTATGGCTTTCTCCTGTTACACTATCTGCAAGGCACTATTTTTAAAAACTCCCTCTAAAAAATTCATTCAGTGTAAATGTCAATACTTCTTCACAAAAATCACTTATGATATGTATGCAGGAGTGCCTCAAAGTTTTCCAGATCAAATTTGCCAGTCTGTATAAAAAAAAACCCAAACCCTAAACTATGCCCCCAAATCCAACATTCTTCCAGAGCTGGATCATGGAAGGCAGGTTCTATGCAGCACCTAAGCCAGACTAACAGCTAGCTGCTCCTAAAAGGGGTGGTTCTGCTTCTCCTTTCTCTCCACCCTTGCGCGACCACCTGGTTTGGATGGCTAAAGGCTCACTGTCAGCTCCAAAAGCTAATTAACAGAATACTATTCACTTTTGTTTTATGAAATCAGTTTTCTGGAGTTTGTTCACCTACAGTGATTGATAATGGAGTGTTACAAGGTGCTAGTGAAAGAATTGGTAAAAACATGTGGCCAAGATTAGTGGGAAAAGGAAAAATGCTTAGTTCCTCCCGGTGGTGGTTAGATCAGAGCAGCTGTATCATACAACTACAGCCGGAGAACTGAGCTGTGTTCATTCTGTCTCGCACATCATCCCTACAGATATCCTCTAGAAAAAAACCTGTTATTCTGATCAATTGTGTAGCACTTCCCCTACTATTTTTAAACAGACGTGTGGGACACCATTAGTTGTGACTACTGGTCTGAACAAATGAAAAAGCCTGTACACACGGCCCTAAGAACCTTTATTGCTGGTGACAAAGTGCAAAAGCTCAAGATTAAGTGTTTAGCACACATAGTTATAAATAAATCCTATTATATGCAACATAGGAAATCTGATATGGAAATAAGCGAGACAGACACTATCGTGTACAAACACGCCTCATTTTATTAAAGCAGGCTTGCCATTTGCAATACTCAAAAATGGCTCAAATTCTTCCAAAAAGTCTCTCTCATGAAGCTGATTATCTGTGCTTTAAAATGATTCACGATTCTGGGTTTTAGAGATCTACCTTTCTACTGTTTTCACTTCTACGAAAAATATCGCCTGCTTTGCTTCCAGTAAACTACTCATTCTTCGAAACATGTACTGTTAATAAACACATGTGACAAGAATTATTAAGTAAGCAGCAAACATAACTGACTTGTTAAGTGTTCCCCAGCAATAAATGAGAACTAGAATTATCAGGCATCAAGCTGGGACTCTGTCACTTTCTTATATGGGAAGCATTACTTACACTCACCTGTAACAGACAACTGCTATGAGAAGCCTGATTCTCAGCTGCTTTGCAGTTAGGATAAAAATATATGACAAGTCCCTCCATGTGTTTAATACAGTGAATTAAGAAACAGTAAGCACTAAAACTTAGCTGTAATACTTGGTAAGCTATTTTACCAGGTAGGTTTTCTTAAACTATTCTGTAGTAGAATTACATTGTATTACAGGATTTAGAGGCACTTAAAGTTATGTAGCTAGACTAGATTTTGATACAAGTACTTCTGAAAGAGAAGATTTGAGTTTTGTTGGGTTTTTTTTTTTTTTTAAATCCTTAATAATGTGGTCAAGCATCTTCTGCCATCCCACTGCTGTTCTGCCAAGAAGTCAAAAAATTTGACTTTATAGGTAAAACTATGAAACACGATGGAACTAGAGCTAGTTAAAAAAGTATGTACTGATTACAGAATTGCTCTGTAGTTAATAGAGCTTTTTTAAAAAAACAGGAGTAACATCCAATTTCTGATAAAGTTTCTGTTGCTGATACAGACCAATCATCAAAAACACTGACAAATAACAGCAATAAGACAACACATATATTAAGACATCAAGATTACATAGGGATTAATGAAGACAGCATAGTATTTTGTTAATGAACAGACAAATATACTAAATATCAGTAATTTTACATAAAAGACACTTTATTAAATATTTAATAGAATTAGAGGACAGACTAAACAATTTCTTACCATCCATCTTGTCAGAAGTATCCTCTTTGTTGAAAAAGCAGACAAAGAAACATGGAAAACTTAGTGTGTTAGAATAAAGGTGTTCACAGCAGTCATAAAACATTAATTAAGGAAAATACATTAATATTAAATACAGCAGACATGTTTATCTAATTCATGCATGTATAAGCTACCTTAAGTAAAGTTGGTTTCTCTAGTCCAACGTACAAAATTACAGAAAAGGGTTCAAGTACCCTGCAAAGGGATGTTGAATCTCTCCGTATTACCCAGATTTGAGCAAACCCTTACAGTAAAATATTTATAAACTGTTACATGCTTGCTGTCAACAGTTACTGAATCATCAGTACATATCTGTATCATTACTGAACCACAATATCTCTATTTCTTACCAAATTTGCTACTGAGCATGAAGCCCCACCTGGGGTAAGGGACAGGAGGGAAAAAGACATCACAATAAAGACAGAGGACATATGGGAGAAAGTTCCACTCTGGTTTAAAAGCACTGAAGGTTTACCAGTTCAGCTGGAAGGTAGTGCATACATATTCTGACAGTAACAATCAAAATTAAAATATTTAGCGTGAGACATACATAATTACAGCTCAAGTCTCCTCAAAAAGGACATTAATACTTAAGGATGTCAAAGACAGTCAACATTTAGAATAACTACAGTAGAGAATGTCCTCGTGCTTCTAGAACAGTCTTTAAAAAAAAACCAAACAAGCATAAATAAGCAAGCAAGAGTTCTTCTATTAATAATAAAAAGGGAAGAGACAGGTAGAGACAATTACAGATTAATATGCTCATGAACTTGTGGTCCTCTGAGGCTCTAAATTTGGCAGCTGTTTAAGCAAAAGGTGGATGTTTCTCTGTAAGTAAGGGTGAAAATGAAAATAAATTCAAGCTCCAGAGGAGACAATGTTATTTATTTTGGTATTGACTGCAACACCTGAGCAGATGTGGAAAGCATTATGGAAATACAGTGACATTTTCTAGGCATTTTAGTACCATGGTCAGCATTATCTTGACAATTCTGTCATTTAAGTTGCCATATTTGGATTTAGTATAAACACCCCCTTTAAAATGAACAGAGGGGAGAAGTTTACAAATCAGCCCGTTTTCTAAAACATGGCACTTGCTTGAATGCACACTCCATTCATTTTAAGGTTACCTTTTGAAAACTAAGAGCAAACAGTATTTTGAGGTGGATACCATGGTTAATCAATAGCCAAACACACAACAGTCACACTGTCTACATAGGTAAGAAGGGACAGGTATGTGTCATTTAAATTACCCTACCACTATTAAAAAACTGTTAGGAGAATGAGCTAAGATCAGTCAAGCAGTACTGCTTTTGTGTGACTGTAAAAAAATCTTGGTCCCCTTGACTATCACTGCCCTTATACCATCTGTAATAGAATTTCACTTTACGACACATTGCTAGTATCACATTATTTTGCCATTTCAAACCACCATTGTATTCTTCTCCACACGTGATTGCATCTGCTAGCAAGGCAAAGCTTTCCAGCTACTCAAATCCTTCAAAAGAATATGACCTGGACTTACTGCCTATTCATTCCTCTCCCCCACCCCCCCTCACCAAATTTATAAACTACAAAGAGAATAAGCTACTTCTTTATTTCTGTTATTTTCCTGCATAAACCCACCACTATTTACTTCCCTGAAAACCTCTGTGCCCTTCTCAACAACCCTTGCCCCCAAAATTCTGGGCATGAATCACATATTGCTTAAAACGTTCTGAAAGCAAACCAGTACTCCAAACGAGCTAATTTCCTGTGAAACTCTTAAGACCAAAGTAGTCCCTTCATTTCAGCAGCATGAAGAAGACAGATTAACAGAGAGAGATTTCTTTCTCTGATTTCTGGTTGACATTTTTTTCCTTCTACCACCATGCTCTGTCTCACTTCTACTTCTCACAACAGCTGAACTCCAGCTTTGTCTGAGATTCAGAATATGTCCTGTTGCACACCAAAACAGACCAGGCAATACTTTGATCCTGAAGAATAATCATCCCACCTATTTCAGGCTCTTAGGCATTAAGTTAGGAGGAACTGAGAATTCCTCAATTGATAACCACAAGCATATCTCCTCCACCCAGCAAACTGAGCAGCCAAACTTTGGTATCCACCCGCTAACCAGCAGGTTCTCTGATTCCCCCCCTGTGGGCACTAGAGGGAGCCCACATCCAAAATTACTATTTGAAGTAGCAAGTATTCCTTTTAGTCAGCGTTGCTCACACTCATAAACTTAATCCTAAAATCAATGGTGTTCAAACCATTTCAAGTAGGCCCTGATGACAAAAGAATCAACTCATTTAAAATAGTTTTTAACTTAAATTTTAATTCTAAAAAACACAACCAAAACCTTTGAAAACCATAGCCTAAGTGTATCCTAACATCTCCCCAAACACAAGGTAAATCTGAAAAACTATGTAGTTTCTCTGCCTCCCTTGTGATCATCTTTGGCAATACTGACATTAGGACATGCCCCCTTGGTGATCTAGCTGGCACATAAGCAGAGAAGAAAAAACTTAATGGTTTTGTGAACACTGAACCTCACCTTCCCCCACTGCTAGCCCTGCAGTATGGATAACCTAAAAAGAACAAAACCAGGCCCATATTCCTTTACCCTCCCCACTTAGCGGAGGTTCTAGTATCTACCACCACTACCACTATCAAATACTTTTCTGCACTCTTATCATTTGTAGCACTTTCTATTATTCCTATCAATGGAGACTGTCACCTAGATAAAAATATACACATAGTTCCATCAACGTGCTTAGGAAGAAATCTATGAAATCTATGTTGTATGTTATTGTGTAAAACACTTCTGTGTTACATGAAGAAGTCACCACTTACTGCCAGGATGTCTCTTCAGCACTGCTGTAAAATAGTCAGTCAAAGAGCTGAGTAAAATGGAAAATCTAGAGTCCTAACACTCATTTCCCTATTACTTCTAGAAACAAAAAAAGCCATGAAGACCATCTGCTGTTAGGTGAAGGTACCGCTCCTTTCAATACTTAATATTAATTCCAGATTAACACATTTAAAGAGCATAGTACAGATACATTCTTTGCATCGGCATTCTTCCAGCACAAGAAAAATAAAACATCTAGCAAAGTTGGTAACTTACTTCAGAACACTTGGTCTTTTGCAATAATCCAATACTACTAAAAATGATGACAATTTTTCAAATGTAGAAGTATTTTCCTGTGTACTTTTGGATCAAAAACCTCAAAAAATATTTCGCAGTATTGTAAAGATGTTTCCCTTACCTAGCGAAGCGTAAGATCCTGGAGGTAGACCAGCTGCTGACAAGCGCCCAGCTCCAGCTGTCTGTCCAGCAGCGTGGCGGGCCTTTGCACCTGCGGCAGCATTAACATCAATGTCGCTGCGAGACCTTTGCAGAGCTCCTGGGCTTGGAACACTCTTGCTGCTGCCTGAAACTAGCAAAAAGAAAAAAAAAATTAGGAAATTAGTTGGTAATGAATAAAATTCATTATATTTGAAAAGTTAACATTTTCTACTACTGCAGCATACCTGCAAAAAGTACAGAAAACTATGTAAAATAGTGTAAGCCAAGTTAGTATTAACCTCAGTCAAGTATTACTGAGGTTAAGAAGCAAACTAGATCTGGTGTTGCCATGAAATTCAGACAAAGAACAGTTTATTTTACGGTGGTATTTATCTTCATTCAGCATTAAATTTTACCATTATTTAATACAAACCATGTGCTCCCACCCTAGTACAAATTACATAATTCTGAACATTTATGTAATTTATTACATTATTGAGTGCTTCACAAACATAAGGAAGTTCACAGCATCCCTTGTGATACTGAGGGAAGATAATATTCCCACACCTCAGCTGAGATAAAGCCACACGCAAGCTGAATGCATACCTCCATTTGCTTTAGGGTATAATCTTCCATAAAGTATTTTTATGTTCATCTCCTATCATTTACTGAATATTAACTATTCGCTTCAGTTAATTTTAACCATTGGTTTATTTTTTCAAAACTTGACTCCCCTTTAACAGTTCTAGTATCCAGAAAACAAGCACTCTCAATTACCGGCAATTTGTAAAAAGGAGTTCAATGATTTACTCCACAACAGTTACGAACACATTATGTGAAAAGTGAACGAAGATACTAAATTCTGAAAACTCAAGAGAAAATTAAACTCTCTGAATTACAAAACTGTGGGTTTGGTTTTTGTTTTTTACAAAGAGAGCAGCTACGTGGGAATAGATGAATGGTATGAGTCCTTCATTTCCAATTGCCATAAGCCTAATAATCATGAATAGACCATAGAATAATGTTTTGCTTCTTTGAGAGTGACTGTTCCATGACAAAACTCCAAGACAGATGATCAATTAATAGTACCAATACATAGGAAATTCTGCCTTATACTTGCAAAAACTGAAAATACATAAAACGTGAAGCCAGTATGAGGCAACCTTAGCTCCAGGTGCAGTTTGTAGTGACACATACCATTGTTCAAGTTGGAAACAGGGTAAATGCTTAAGGCAGATTTTAAGCTGCATTTAAAACTTCTAATTCAAAGAACATAAAGAACAATTATTGTGCACTGCACTATATAGCAACCACCTTACCTCTGCCTGCAAGACTTGCTGGGCTGGCTGCAGACCATTTAGAAGACAGAGGCCGACTGAGAAAAAAAAAAAGTCAGTAAAACCAGTAAGTAAGTCTCATGTATCAGATCCAAAAGGCAATAACAACAGAGAGGGAAAAAAAAATATATCTTCTGTTCTTTTCTCCCCTTCAACTTTCCCACCATATTTTAGATAAACACATTAAATACAGAATGACAAGGAAAACACAATCATCGTATCTTTTGTGTTTTATAAAATCATGTCTTCATCACAAAGCATTAATCCTTAGGTTACCAATAGGCACACTTTGCTAACACGAAGTTCAGGCATTCCAGACTTGGTCACAGAAACATTTAAGGTGGTCAGTACAAGGTTTTAACCACAGGACTGATCTTCTAAATCAGCTGTCAAACAAAACTAGCAGGAGCTACACAAAAAGCTTGATTTATGAAAGAAATTATGTGAAGTGGTGTCTGCAGTAGCAAGGAAAACAGGTGTACAATTCATAACCCTCCTCCAGTATCTCCCAAGAATCAAGTTATAAATTAGAAAGGAAAATGCTGGAACTTCCAAAACAGCTAGACTGAATTTTCCCTGTTGGAATGCTCCCACAATTTATAAAAGGAGAAAAATCCCATGTCTTTTTCCTCTATGTTTTCTGCCCATTTCCCTTTACTCTTACTGCAAAAACGTGTAGTTGCTGAAGCAAAATCTTCCTGTCTACTCAAGTTTAACTGTGAGCCCTTCCTTCTGTCTGGCTCAGAAGGCTAAAATGCAATCAGAGGGACCAGGGAAAAGCAAAAAACCAGTAGAAGCAAGCACAATACTTTATTCATTGATTCATATCTAGCCTTCTAAATATTTATCTGACTGGGAAGGTTTGTATTTTCTGAAACAGTTGACTATTTCATCAATAGTCAAATTACAGCCTGAGTCTAGAGTCTCAGCTTTAGTAAAAATAATCCCCCTCTAATTTTAAACCAAAAAGCAGAGAGAAGAGAGATGCATATCACTGTGTATTTATCTGAGTTACTAGCTCAGGTGCTCAATGATAATATAGAGGTCAGCACTGTTACCGAACTCCTCACAGAAGATCATGTATTTGCAGCTTATTATAATACCTGCTTTTCTGACATTACTAACTAGTGTTTTGGAGGTATTTTGCTGCAAGTAAGTCGAGGAGGCCCAGGCAGAGCTCCTGGGTGCATCCTGACCTTACAAGTTGCTCCAAACAGAAGGCCCAGACAACTGTTACAATTTCAACACTTGCATGATCTATTGTGATTAACATTTCATTTAAGCGGTTTCATATAGGCAGGCACAAGTCACTGCATTTTTCTCATTCCACCATCCTCTTAAACACCATTTTTGATGAATAATCTGAAAGAGCTAGAAGTTCGGAGGGTCAAAAATCATGGAGGATCAGACTTTTAGGAGAACCACACCCATATTTCCTAAGTTAGTCTATACAGGGAGAACTCAGCATCTGTATTAGAAGCAAGAAATATAATTTTGGGTAACACAGGGAAAACAACATGCATATAAATGCAAAATTAGTGAAAAATCAATTAAAAATTAATTTCCAATATCACGATCTGTTCTGTTCATCTCTTATTTTACTTCTCCCTTTCTGTACTGTAGTATTTACGTATCTTGCAATACAGGAAGTAACACTTACTTGAGGATTTAAGAGTATTTTAAGATCTAATTTCTCTGTAATTTAGTTTCTAACATTTTATTACTAGTTACTCATTAACAGCACTTTGATTTTCATATAGGGAGTATAGATTAATTTAAACAAGAGTAATTAATCTTTGAATAAACATTTGTGTGGCAAATGAAGTGTTAGCAATAGCCTACATTACAGACAATTATTTTTAAAATGTTTTTTATAATTACAAGTATCATAGGAAAGGTAAGATTTGACATAGAAGAGGGAAAGCCTCTGGTATTTAAGGCAGCAACAAAAAAAAAAGAAAAAAATTAACTTCCAATATGCTGTAAGCAATCTTTTCTTTCAAGTCAAAAATGAGAAGACAAGTTCTCTGGCTTTGGAAATGAAGCATCTGAATTAAAATTTTCACAGGTTTAAACACTTTGAGGAAACTTTCTAGAATTTAAAGGAAAAAATCACCACATACTACTACTACTACTATTTTACATTTCTACTAAAAAGCCAGTAGATTTCTTTTGCTATTGGTACCTAAGCAAACTTTAATCTATTCAGCTCAAGATTGTCTATACATTTTAATACACCACTGACTGCAGCACAGACCCACCCTCTAGTAATTAGCTTAGCTGCAAAATACTGCTAATACGTATTTCATACTGTGAAGACAGGAAAAAAATGATCTCTGATCTGAACGGATCTCACTGTCAATGTCTCTTTCTCATACTTCCCAGTGAAAAGGGATAAAAAAGGAGTAACACCATTATTTCTTTCCTAGACTTATTCATTGCACCAGAATGCTGGACATCAATATGTGAACCTTGAAGATACTTTGGTGTAATAGAGGCTGTTAAGGAAGAACTACATGAGTAAGAACAGCCTGCTAAAATCCAGTTAATGACTGCCCTTATTTTTCACCTTGCTGGGGTAATACTGTCATATAGCAAAAGACAATAAAAGATATTTATTTTAAAAAAAAGTGACAAAATACAATTGCAGCTTTTCTGTACACCACAGAAGTCTGGCTCATTTGCTTTTGAGAATCAGTTTTTATTTGTTTATAGGCTCAGAAACAGTTAAGTGACCCTTACTTGAGGCTCTCCTGTGAGCTGGAGGATGACCTGTCTGACTGAGGGAGAGATGCTATGCTGCCAGAATTCTTCAAGTAGGTCTGGAGGCTTCTTTGATAGGGCGGCTCAAGAGAATTGTACAGAGTCTCGGCTTCACTAGGAAAGTGATTTCTAAGACCCAGATAAGCCCTGCAAAACAAGAGAATAACCACATATAATTGCTCTATATTTTCTTCAAAGTGTGGAGTCAGGAAGTAGAAGATTACAGAATGAACCAGGGATGGGAGGGAAAGGAACTCAGACTGAAAATATGCAAGGCATACAATACTGCTCATCAAATCATAAAAGAAACCAGATACACTGACTGAATTAATCTTTTCAAAATAACTTAGTCTATCCTCTGAAATTCTCACATTCACTTATCGATTCTGTGGGGGAGCAAGAGAAATTCTTTTCTGGCCTACTCACTAGTCAAGTGCTGCAGTTGTTTAATGACTTAAGGGGGGGGGGCAGTGGGGAAGAATTATAATGCAGCAATATCAACTTTTATGACTCCTGTTTCAGTAGAATCCTCAAACACTGCATGACAGTATTAATTGCCTCAACTTTCAGAATGTCTTTTGCAAAAGAAACTAGGTATTAATTCAGGACTCCGAGAACAGAAACATCAATTTTAAGCCTAACTTGTGTCCTCCTCTTCAGCCATAGTTAGCCGCTCACCTCTGATTAGAGCCTTCTATCGCTCATGTAAAACATACAATTTTTCAGAGCAAAATGTAGTCAAAACTCACTTTCTTGCCTCCACTCTTGCTTCTGCATCAGCATCATGAATGCCCTTCTTGATTGTTTCAACCAAGACAGCTGCGTGTCTAGAAGAAAAACATTTTTCATGCCATTTTGCTACTCCAAATTCTATTTTTAGTAGTAAAGTTTTACCCTTTAATTAACATTTTTCTAAGTAAAAACCAGCTGAGATAGTACTTCTTTCTAAGGTATGAAATAAACAAACACTTAAGCACACCAATAACATAACTGCACCTTCTGTAAGGGTTTAGGTAAGCTTCCTCCATCAATCTAAAAGAATTATAATCTACTTTTCAGACATACAGCCACCTATCACACTTAAAAAGTTATTCAAAAATACCTTTTTAAAGACACCTACTTTACTGAAATGGAAAAACTATTTCCCCTACTATATCAATAGCAAGAAAAAGAAAAAAGTTAAGATTAGTAAGTTTGCTTTCCTGGAAATTCACCTCTGAAAGCTTTTGGTGTACGAGTTCTAAACCTCAACACATGCTCAAAGAACAGCAAAGCCCCCATCAGAACAACCAAAAATTGTGATGATAAACACATTTTAATTCAAAATATGTTTGGGGTTTTGTTTTTTGTTTGGGGTTTTGTTTTGGGAGGGTGGGGTGTTGTTTTGATTTTTTTGTGTTTTTTTTTTTTTTAAAACACATACACACTGACATAAATAGATCTCCCCATTGCTCCCTTTCTCAGGAGTACCTTGAGGGGTTGAAAGGTGACTATGGAGCTGGATGAGCTCTTCAGAGCCTCCTCTGGAGGCCTTATAGTCCCTCTGCTCTTACTCTGTGCTTACAGTACACATTCTGCAGAGCTGATGCATGTACTATTTTCCTGTCTACCCAGAGAAGCTACAGTGTGCTCGTAATCATCACCAGAAAAAATCCTCCGGCCTAATCCCACTTGCCCTCTTTTATGGTGAACACACAAATTTCCTCCTTTCAGGAGAAGAGGCAGATGCTTACCTGTGCATCTTTGCTGCACAGGATACATGATATTAGTGAAACTCTGAGAAAGCACGGTACACGTTGCTCACATACAGTATAGGAAAAGAGGCAGAGGGTAAGGAGAGGAGGCAACATGAAGTCAAGGCTGGAGCATACAGCTCTCTTTCTCCCTGGCACTTGAATGAGCCACATGACCTGCTGTGCTAGAAAGGTCGGCCAACACTGAACAACATAATCCAATTAAAGGATTAAATGAAAAGATTTCTGTCTTAAAATTCATTAGCAGTTTATTATTGAGGAAAAAGTATACTGGGCCATACCTTTCCAACGAATGTGTTTGCCACTCTTGTAACAACAGGTCTAAAAATTCAAAGGAGCGCCTAAAAAGACAGAACAAAAAGTTAGAATTAATACTCATTTCTCTAATGTCCTTGCGGAATAAATAGTAACTTTATTCTTTCCCCCTGAGGGAAACAAATACATAAAATTAAAGTACTTTTATTTGTCAAATAAGGACATTGGTCGCCTTATTGCAAAGTTAAAATATTCTGTATAGAAAGCAAACATGCAGGCTAACTAATCCTAAACTCCAAAAAAATAGATGTGGTTCAGTTAACTGTCTGTCGTGTTATTACACATATGCTATGTTAGTTTTTAGCCCCAAAATAACAGACAAAAAATCAATAAAGTTTAAAAACTGTACAAACTATAAAAATCTTAATGTTAAAAAAATCAATACTTTAAAAATTCAGCTATTAAGTCACAACGTAATGTTTCTATGGCAGTGTATTTCTGTCCCAAACACTATTCCCATCCTTTCATCTGTCGTTACTGAGTATGTAGCATAAAGGAGAACATGAGACCATTAGTACAGGGCTCCGCATATAGAAAGCACTCCTGAAGATTTGCTGGCACTGTACAAACTAAGTTATGTAACCTTATTCACTATTAATTCATAATTCATGACAGTTTAGCAGACAGCTTAGCAAAAGGCATACTTTAAAAAATGTCTGAAGCTAGATCCTGGTGAACAAATCAAAGCGACACGGATTAGGAAGGTGTAGATAACAAGTCTTCAAAAAGGTAGTGGACTCTACTGTCTAGAGCTATTACTTTTTCTGGTTCTGTTCTGGAAGAGCAGATTTCATTTTTATTCCACCTAAATCCTTTGGACACCTACAAGACATGGCAAGAAACCCTGAAAGGCTTTTCAGAATTATAACCAATCTAGTTCCAAAGGAATGAGGTCAGTATGAAAACAATGCAATTTTTGCCACCGTCATTGAGGCTCACTGAATTGTGAACTGCAGTACCAAAGCCACCTACAGTCTAATGTTCCTCAGCAAAGCTGTGGTAGGTGGAAGTACTGAAGCCCTGTGAACTGTTTTGCAGTCAAACCAGAAGTTATGACAGGTCAGTATTATCTGGGTTAAGATAATACTTGCTTTGGATGCAAAGACAGCTTAGATTCAGAGCAAGTAGTTCAGGTGCTCAGGCTGTTTCTTGCATACACATAGCTATATCGCTTCCAGGGCTAGCGTGGGCCCAGAAGCAGCGTTAACTGCTTTCGTGAGATTCTGTGCAGCAAATGACACTCTGTCAGAAACCAACTAATTTTGTCAAGAGCCAATCCAAGTGTTCAAGTATCATGTTTTTGGAAAAAGCAACATGCTGAAGATGCACCTCAGTTGTTAAACATGACAACACATTGATCCACCACGTCCTATCTAAGGTAGCAGCCACTGTCTCAATCCCACAGTCCCCAGCATGGTAGGTTTACTATTCTGGGCACAGTATCAGACAGCCTAGCTCCACGCATTCAACCCACATTGCACAAAAGTTACGAAGTCCTCCTGGCATCAGGAGAGCAAGGTGCTGGCACACACTGCACGCAGTATGCTGTAGTACTTCGGCAAGAGCTAACCTCACTAGGCCTGTCAAGTCTGGCCCTAACGGTAACTAATAGGCTCAGGCTGGTTCTTCACAAAGGCATGCCTATCTGTTTCATGCTCTCCCAATGCCTCTCAATACCTGTGTTGTTTGTTCTCATTAGACTGAGCAACACAGATTCAACTGCAGCTTTTTTTTTTCCTTCTGGTTTTAAATCAGAAAGTATTTTTTGAACAAGTGTTAGGAACATTTTAAATTAGAATAAATTCTGCAGAAGAATACAGTGTACGTCCCCCACTATGGCAGAAAGTACCATTCATCAACATCATCCGATATAACTTTGCTGAAATTAATTTTTGTAGTTTACTGGATAACACAGTTTTGTGTCTTCAGAGTTAACAGCCATAAATCTTCAAATGTTTATTTTCAACAAATGATCATCAAATTTAAAAAAGCAACAGCTTTAATAATTTGCTGTTTATAATGTACTCACCTTCTAACTGCAACTGACTTTGAGGTACAGTTGCTTGTTATTAAAGGTATGAGTCGTGGCACATGGGTATGCTGAAGAAAAAAAAAAGACAAAGCAGTTAATGACAAAAGTATTCCTGATTTTGTACTGTACTAATTAAGTCAAAAAGAATTGGCAACATAGTAACAATTGCAATCATTTACAATGCCTACTGAAACTACATGTAGAATACTATTAAATAAGAGACTGCTGCTAGCGCATGACTTGATTAAACCTATTTTTTTCCAAAGTGTCAAGCAAAAAGCACTTCCAATGCCATCAACAATCACATCGTGATATGCAATACTTAGCTGTCAGAAGTCATATACGAAGGCTCAGATATAAAGTGTCTCCTCAAAGGGGTTGCAAGCTGATGTTATTTTAGTTTTGCCACAGAAAAAAAGCAATAGACGTAGCAGTCTTAAAAATCAGAGTTATGGAGCAAAAAGCAAAACAATCAATCTCAAACTATGGGCATTCTTTTAGGGATCAATCAATACGATTAGTGCTACAAAGACCAAATTCCTTTTAATGCAAAATATGTCAATAAAATAATAAAATCATGACATGTAATATAAGCAAGCTTATGTATATAATCTATATGGAAACACTTCACATCCTCATGGGAAAAAAACCCCTTGAACTACCATTTAAAGTGGATAAGATAAACTACATTAAATCCAAATGCAATACTTTAATTCAGAATTAAAGCAGCCTTACTTCAGCTTATCTTAACTAACTGTAGACACAAAGTATTAACATTTTGATTCCAAGTAAGAGTAACATGGTTCAACAAATCCATTTTCAGTTCTTTATTCCTTTCTTGATTCAACACGTAACTTCTAAAACAGTCCCCAATACAGCGTGAAACTGTAGCCTATAAAAAAACTGCTTAAAAAGTACAGTACTGAACAATTCTTAGTATCTCACGTATCATACTTTCTCCTTCAGTTATTGTTGTGGGATATAAACACAAAAATCACTAAAAAAGCAGAGAGATAATTATCCTCTCAGAGTACTGCCAACTTCAGAATTAGGAGGATGCTGAAGAAAAAATCTGGACGAGCCTTACAGTTGCATTTGTTCGTACTGTTCTACTTTTAAACAGGGTTTTAGGGGTTTTGTTTGTGTTTTGCATAGTTTTCAAACTGAAAAGTGGCACATGACTGCCAGAAAGGGAACAATAAGCAGTATCAGGGGAAAGAATAAAATGTTTTCACAGATGGAGAAACCTGTATGTTCCAAGTGTTTGGAGCTATTGACATTGTAATTTCTAGAAAGTGTTTTTGCAAGGGAATCAAAGCCTCAGGCTTGCTTTCATTCAGCTTTAAGATTGCACATTTCATCTGTTAACCCTTTGAAGCTGTCATGATACATGCCTCCTCCCAACCCACCTTGCAGCTCAATTGCCCAACCTGAATCCCACCTCCCTCTGGAAGAGATTTTCCGCCTAAATGCCATCTCATCATGACACACCCTCCCCCCACCTTTTTTTTTTTTTTTTTAAATTGGTTTCCTGATTTACTGAGAGTCAAGAAAGAGAAATCAGACTACAGCATAAAAACTATCTGGAGAAGAAATATGAAATCCAAGAAAGGGGCAAAGATGAGATGGAGCTCTTCAAGATCACTGGTATAATACAGCCTCTCTCTTTTTACGTACACTCACTCCCACAGCAATTAGATACTAAAGCACCAGGATCTGAACTGCCTGTCAGTGGATTCTGGTAGGAGTTTTTGAGCAAAACGCTGACTCCAAAAGCTGTAATGGCTTGGGCTCTAAATATGCAACTGATCACACACTCCCTGACCAAATCTCATTTAATCTAAAGGATAGAAGTCCAAAGGAGAGTGGGACTGCATTTAGTTTGACTGATATTTCTTTCTTTCTTTTTCCACTGAAACCTGAATTTTCTGTCAGAACACCTTGCATGAGCCATTTATTGGTTGGGTATTTGAACACTATGGATGGGGTTTTCTCGCTTCTATGCCTCCAATCTAGGATGTTAAATTACAGCTAAGAATAACAGAAGTTTAAACAAAATCAGGGCAGCTGTAGCCAACTTGTCTTCAACTGAACTAAACCAATAAAGCCAATTTAACGTAATCGGTGAATTTTTATTTCATGCTGCTTTTCTGGTGCTTGATTTAGCTCCTGTAAACAACAAGATAGGGTTAGTTTCTCACATGCCTGAGCTCATCTAATACTACTGCAAATGGTATTCTTCTCTTACAACTTTAATTGTCCTGTGTAAGGTGTATTCCTTCCTCCACTCTCAACTCTGTGCCATTAGCCATCTCACAGTACATTGTAAGAGTCTGGGGAAAAAATGCCAATGGTTCTTAGCCCAAGTGCTGATGCAAAGGTAATGCAGAAGTCTCAGAGCACATTCTCAGAGGCATGGTTAGACAGAATAAGTACAGATTCCAAAACATACTGAGGATGGCAATAAAAGGTGTGAGTGATTAAACCACTTAGGTTTCCAACAACTTACAAAATTAAAACCACGGATGAGATCACAATGAATAGCAGTAAGTGCCTAGCATTAAGAACACCGCAGCTTTTAATGTAGAAACTACAGGCAACCTCCCACTTCTATCTGAAACACAAAAATATCAGTACAAGTCCCAATAATCTAGCTAAATATCTTGCCTCAGACACCAGTCAGTAGCAAATGCGTAAGGAAAAGACAATAAAAAAAACCAGCTAGTATACAGCATTCCCCTCTTCTATGTGCTATAGCTTTAAGGACTCAAAGTACTTAAACCCCAGGATTGATATCTCTATTGGGCTCTTCTTCCATGAACTTGTGCTTTCTGAACTGATCCATGTATGTGGATCAATATTTTATCATTAACTCCACAGTTCCATTTTTTTTTAATATGCTTTTTTTTTTTTGGTAAAAAGAAATAGTTTTGTTTTTTAAAAAAATCTTACTAGGCTCTTAACTACTAGCTTAACTTTGTCTTCTCCAAAAAGGCAGTTAAATGCAGTTAACCTTTGAAATACACTTGCCTTTTTACAATTAACACATTACAAAAAAATCATGAAAACAGACTTGCTTTTCACACCTATTCCTCCACCTTTATAATGGTAATGCTGCCGACTGGTTTCAATGATAAATAATATTTGTCCATCTGTGAGAAAAATTACTTCTCCATGAAAGAATGATTAATAATCCTATATTTCAGAATTGTTATTCTCTCTGCTAAGAGCCACTACCTGAATATTCCCGCAAGCAAAGTGAGAGAGGAACACCTACCCGAATAATGAATCTAATGGCTGCGCACCCAGAAGTTGCCATCACTTTGGCGCTGTTGGGAACCAGATTAAAAAGAGTAGGCACAATAGCTTCAGCGCCATGATCGAACTTGTTTCCCAAAACAGTTGAAAGATGGCTATTTAGGAAAAAGAAATAAAACTTGTTAACAAAAATTAGTTTCTTAGTCTTAAAATAACAAAGTTCATTGTACATTTTAAAGATTTATCTTTCCAAACAACAGAATTTCTTAATTTCATGACTTCCTAGTCCTTGCCTCATTAGAAATGCAGGACTTGCATAACATTTTTGTTACTTGGCAGACACATTAAAGGTTGAACACTAATAACTTTATTTCATAATGAAAAACAAATACCACAATTTGAAAGGCTAAAATTCTCATATCCACATAAAGGATCATAGTATTTCTGCTTTTTAACACACTTTGAGAGTATATGATTTCCATAGGATTTTAGACTTATTGTTCAAGATTTTTTTCCCTTTTGAATGCAGAATGAGGACGTTTACATAGTACTTTTTATGCTATTCCTGACTTCAGGTTAGGAAAAGTTAGCATTGTTTTCTCAAAGCCTGAGTTTCCCTAGCAAGGACAGTTGTATGCTCCAACAGGTCCCCAAGATCTGTTCAATCAGGAAACCAGAACAGTAAGGGTGAACTCTAGGGCATATCTGTTCCACATGGCCACTGAAAATCAGTGGTTACATTAATGCCTTTCCAGAGGAAAAAAAAAGCCACGGAAAACATGGAAGTGGGAAAGACTGCTCTGGCGTAAAAATAAGGTGTGTCGTTCCCCCTTGAATTTAATGAGAGTCCCCAAGATGATGAGGATGAAGATCTTATTTCCATTAAGCCACAGCTTCTAAAATTATCATGGATGTGAAAGATACTACCTCACCAAAAAGTACAGTGTTTTACTGAAGCTTTCACTTGGGTTTTATCTTTTTAAGTTGCATCTTAGACAATTCAACAGTCAAGCAGAAGGGCTCAAAACACTACAGGGCAGCTCACTTTGTTATTACAAGTAGTCACAGTAAAGCCCTGTGCCAATCACCCAAGTATAAGTGCTCCTAAGACTAGCCCCCAATATTATAGTAGTACTTACAGCAGTTTGTATTAACTTGCACTAAGTACTCAGTGTAATGATGGTAACTTGTTCTTTACATACAATCTGTTACAGGATTATCAACCACGTATATTGCCTAAAAGAACAAATTCCTTTACATGTTTCTTTTTCTCTACAGCTTCAGATGCTGACTTGACTCTATCAGTCATAGTGTACAGCAGTTCAACAAGGCAATCTTTCCTGCAACACTGATAAAGTATTTTTAAGTTGAATTCATGCTAAAATCTAGCAATGTACACAAACGCACATAAACTATACTTACGCTACAGTAATGCATGCTTCTCTAACCACCTGGGATCTGAGATCCTTGGCTGACAGCTTGAAAGCACCATCCAACAACCGTAAATGCTGGAAAAATCCATCATACTGTGCAGCTCCAGCAACAAGCAATGACCGAACTTTCTTCAGCTAAAAAATTTAAGGTATTTAGTTTAGGAAACTACCAATATGCATTTCAAAATAAAAAAGTAACAACTTCATTGCAACAATGTGCACAGGCATGTCTTTAAAGCAAAGTATCATTTTGAAATATATGGCAGTAATTTCAAAAACTGTAAAAAAAAATTCTATTACTTAAATTCTAGAGTGAAAAAGTCTTAGATCCCAGTCTACAAATATACAAACACATAACTGTTCCCACACCTGTTCCCAAACACTAAGATACCATAAACCTGGTAAAAAATATAAATGCTACATACACACAAACATTTTAATCCTGCAAGTGGAACTTATCATAGCCACACATAAAAGGTACTAATGCCAGCAGTTTACCTGCAAAATATGTAATTTTGCATAAATGCTAACTGAAACATACACAATGGCTTTTAGAAAAGCTTCCACTTAAATGTCAGCAAAAAGGTCTTTCGGCCTTTTTAAAATACTTGCTCAAACTTATTTGGTATATGGAAATTCAATGTTTAAAAATTAAAATGAAAAATTCTTTGATTGTCTGGAGTGTAATTACTTTAAGAAAAAACAGTTTAAAATATCTAGCTGCCTGTGCTTTATGAAATACACCCACCCAAACCTGAAACCAGATAAAAAGTTTACCGCATTAGTTCGTTGATCCCAATCATGTTTATCATCTGAGAGAATTTCCCTGATTTTGTTCAACGTTTCTTCAAGTTCTCGACTAGAATAGATCTAAAGTATTAAAAAACCAGAAAATTTATACTGTTAATATCCCAGGTAACCCGATGAAGGAAAATAGCTTGAGAAGACTGAAAATACAATTATAATTCTGAAATCTTGCCCCAAAAGTTCCAGAGAACTGTATAAGAGATATAAATGGGCATTTTAAGGCAAATCTTTGAGGCTATCACTGAGTAGTGAATATTCATTAAAAGCAAAGCTGAAATATCAACATTTTCCTCAAGATTTCACCTTTCACCTTTGTTATGATCTAATCATATCTAGAATTTCATTAACTCCATTTAAAAAAATATAATTCAAAACGAGCAGAGGTTTTAGATAATCTGTTGCAATGCTACTGCAATTCAATTTCATTTTCATACCCACTATTACAATGATACTCAACCAACAGATTTTAACCCAATGCAACTCTTTTGGGGCAGGGACTCTCTTCCACATTACAAGAGTGCATGGCTCTATGAGGGCCTAACTGGGCTGCTAGTCAACACTAAAATGAAAGATTTGGCTGAAAAAATAAATTAAAAACTTCAATAGCTTCTATATGTATTACTACTACAAGCCTATCATTTATTAACTTACGCAGTCAGTAAATAAATGTAAGGAGCAGCCTCCAGAGTTCTCTATTATCTACACAGTAACTCCAGCAAAACTGAAGCCTGACAAATCTAATCATACATCAGTCACTATTTGGTAATACATGAATTAATGCATTTATCGATAACTGTACACGTAAAAGAGTGGATTTCTAAAGAAGCAAATAAAAAAAGTAGTCACGAAAACCATATTAACAACATCAGAAATCAACTGACTTCCTTTCTATTCTCCTAGACATAAGCCACAGGACACACTCTTCTGCTTCCACTGAACATGCAAAATTTAAAGGCTTTTTTTTTTTTCCCCAGATTGAGAACAAGTTGAAGAGGATGTGAAGCAAATTACTGACCAGAAACTTGATCTGGCCAGAATTTTTTCAAAAACCTATTTTCAGCTAAAGACTTCCAATTTTTTGGATGAAAAGTTGTTCACATAAACACATTGGGCTAAACTGAGTTGCCCATACACAGGCATCTGGTGCCATCTGAGATACCTCCAAGACATCCACATGGTGCTGGTAGATACGATTCAGGACTTCAAGGAAACTCATACCCTTCTAGAGTGAAAGCTGGAGGCCAGCACAATAGCTTACGTAGCACCTAAATAGTAGTGATGTTCCCTCTATTTAAGTCCAAGACATAACTTTTTATGTGCAAGAGCACAGAGCATGAAACAAGGACCAATGGTTAGGACATTATGGTTAGGTCCCTGCAGAGGGACCTGGACAGGCTGGATCGACGGGCCAAGGCCAACTGTATGAGATTCAACAAGGCCAAGTGCCGGGTCCTGCACTTCGGCCACAACAACCCCATGCAGCGCTACAGGCTTGGGGAAGAGTGGCTGGAAAGCTGCCTGGCGGAAAAGGACCTGGGGGTGTTGGTTGACAGCCGGCTGAACATGAGCCGGCAGTGTGCCCAGGCGGCCAAGAAGGCCAACAGCATCCTGGCCTGTATCAGAAATAGTGTGGCCAGCCGGAGCAGGGAAGTGATCGTGCCCCTGTACTCGGCACTGGTGCGGCCGCACCTCAAATACTGTGTTCAGTTTTGGGCCCCTCACTACAAGAAGGATGTTGAGATGTTGGAACGTGTCCAGAGAAGGGCAACGAGGCTGGTGAGGGGTCTGGAGAACAAGTCTTATGAGGAGCGGCTGAGGGATCTGGGGTTGTTTAGCCTGGAGAAAAGGAGGCTGAGGGGAGACCTCATTGCTCTCTACAACTACCTGAAAGGAGGTTGTAGCGAGGTGGGTGTCGGTCTCTTCTCCCAAGTAACTGGCGAAAGGACGAGAGGAAATGGCCTCAAGTTGCGCCAGGGGAGGTTTAGATTGGATGTAAGGAAAAATTTCTTTACTGAAAGAGTAGTTAAACATTGGAACAGGCTGGCCAGGGAAGTGGGTGAGTCACCATCCCTGGAAGTATTTAAAAGACGGGTAGATGAGGCGCTTAGGGACATGGTTTAGTGGGCATGGTGGTGTTGGGTTGATGGTTGGACTCGATGATCTTGGAGGTCTCTTCCAACCTTAATGATTCTTTGATTCTATGACATCTTGCTTTGCATTAATTGAAGAGCTTTGACACTGGTCTCTTGAACACACTGTTCTGCATGTATATATGCTTTTTTTTTTTTAATTGTAAAAAGATTTAGGAACATCTTTCTGTTCTACAGTTAAGCTGAATGCATATTTTCTACAAAATACCTTATTTTCCTGGGCAACTTGAAATTACTACAAAAGTTATTCCAAATACAGTCCAGTTTCCAGTTTCCTGAGCATATCAAATGAATTTAACTTACAGTAGACACGGGACCTTGATTCTATTAACATCTACTTTTGTTCCAATGCTTTAACAGAACATGGTTATGGAGGCCTCTACATTTCATGCTGGAATACTGATGAAGTGGAAAACATCCATGCCCTAAAACATCTGCACATCTGGTTTGTAGGATAAACAGGATAGGAATCACTTCAGAAACAAATTAGTACACCCAGGCCAGCTTCACTATCATGCAGAAAACAATTTCTGAATATGCTTTACCAACAAAATTGAAATTTTTATTACCCAACAGCTGTACAGTAAGCTTTTCCAGGGTACAGTGTGGGAGCAGCATTGCAGTTCTATACAGAGGACACGACTACATCCATAAAAAACAAAAGGCTGTTCCTCATGATTACTGTTTGCTTCTTCATTAGAAGTCAATAAACATCTGATGCATAACTTATTCAAAAAGAGTAAATGATTTAATGAAAACAGTGGGTCCAAGCATAACAGACTTTCTACTCCACTGCCCACAAAATGGAATATGAGTTTTGTATCACTGTTTTAATATACTTGTGTATACTGGTAGTGTATAATACTTGTTACACAACACTATTTTAGTCTAACACTAATTCTATAGGTACCATACTATTAAGAATAAATATTATGTTTGCCTAAGTAAGCATTTTTATCAAATTAAATTTCCATTATCAAAGAAAATTCTTATTTTCCTTTTAAAAGTGGAAGGGAGTAGTCACTGGTTAACTAAAGATGTAATTTCACATTACAGTGACGCTAATGCCATCAGAATTGGTGACATGATTCAACCTCCTCAGGCTCCCCCTTCACCATCACACACCTTGCCCTGTCTCCTTCCCAATTCAGGGATTTAACATACAAAAAGCTAACCCTACAAGAGGAAAGGGAAAAATTTCTCTGCCAACTCAGCAGCCTATGCCAACTTATCACAAAGAAGTGAAGTGCAACAACAAGGGAAGCAGGATCATGCCTTTTGGTGGCAGCTGAGTTCTGTCTAGTGCACACTCAAAACTTCATCTGAGGTTCTGGTCAAGGTACAAATACCTTTTGTAAGCTGTCTCATTGAGTAGATCCTCAAAAATGGGACATTTCTCGTTGTCAGCTATGTGTTATCAGAGACCATGTGCTGTAGTTACTGCTATAGGACTAAAACATGTTAAGCAATACACAAGCACAGAAGCAACATGTACAATAGGTTTATGTCTGCCCTACTTGCATGCCTAGACAAAGAACTTAATTTTTTCTTTAATTACCTGGCACAAACAGAATTGGATCTATGCAATTTCTGCTATTTAAATTGGCATTGTAATAATGAATTTAGTAAATGGCATAATTTTATCTTGTCATGAAATCAAAACTGTAATTCCACTGAAAAATCCCAAATTGTCAAGGTTGTCCATACCTATATGAGCTTCAGAGGAATAAAAGGTAACATTCTAATAATTTCTTTTCTCCCTGTCCTTGATTAATTTTGCTTTTAGAAGACCAAGATGAAATTCTGTGTTCAGTCAATGACATAAATTTTTTTGTTCATAAGTTCCCACACCAGACTTTTATAACAACAATTAAATTTGTTTTGAAACAAATTCTAGCTATTAATGGGAGTTACTCCTAATAACCTGAACACAGAATTTTCTTCAATTTAAGCAAAAACAAATAAACAAGAGTTGTAAAAACATTATGGTTGTAATCTTAAATTTGAAGGCACAATCCTCTCACCACAATAATTTCTCTTTTTGGCACACAGATCCATCAGACTATATCTCAAAATCACCCATCTTCTTCATAAACTGCTGCACATTAGATGGCAACACACACATCCTTAAAGGTAAGTGCAACATCAAAGACAGAAAAATTAAAAGCTCAGACACAAAAGTGTATAAAGAGTAATAACTATACAGAGGGAAAGTATTTCCAATATGGGGATTACAAACTAGATATGAGTAAACAATATGAGATTCCTAAAAAAATTAATGATGAGCAGTCATTGAAACAGGTTACTGGAAAGGCAGATCCACCACTGGAGGCTTTTAAGAACGAGTTAAACATACACACACCATAAGTAACCTCAAATTTACTTGATTAATCCAGATGCACTTAATCTTGATTCAGAATTGGATCCGTTTTTCCATAATATAGTTCCCTTCCTTACTTTCACTGAAGCCACTACTAAAACCCACAAATGTAATGAAAACAGAAAGACAGAGGAATGGGCCCAATAATGTACAAACAAGTCCCTCTCCCCATTCTAACAAGTTTCCTTTGCTTTTAAAATAACCTGGCAAATTACAGGTCATAAACATTCCTTCTTCACAGGATCTAGTACAGAAAATTCTCTCTTCCTTAATTATTAGCATGGTCTCAGAACATGGGATCTGCCTTTTTTTTGGAAAGAGCAGAGATTGTCCACAACCAGAAGATGAAGTTGGGACAGCAGGAAGTCAGTATTCCTAAGGATACAAAAAAAACCTTTTTTTTTTTTTGCGCCTGGTCAGCAAGTCTTTCTTACATTCTCATCCATGAAATAAATAGGTTGAGGTCAGTTAGACATTTCTCCCCTGCATCCTCACCTCAGCTCGGATGAGATTAGTAAAGACAAGCGGGTCTTTCTCCTCCACCTCTTGCAGTTTAGGAATGACCTACCTTCCTAGGTTATCCAGCAGTCAGACAGAAAATCACATGCGCTCATCAATGACATACAGTTGCCCCACTTTTGTTCTTGCAATGTTATTAACCAGCTTGAGTGATTAGAGAACTCTGCTTGAGACTGCAAATATTAAGGCATCGAACTACAGGCAGCACATTTTCTGTGCTGTGGAATATGGCTCTGTTGAACATAACGGGGATAAATAATATTAAGAGTTCCATGTTTTTGCCCTCTAAAGAATTCTTAGCACAGTTTGGAGAGGCAGAGAAACATAAAGCTCTTAAGAGTGCAAGACAAAGATTTCCTCAGTGTGACAGGAACCATGGAGATAAAGTGTTCCTTCATAAAAGCAGACAGTATTTCTGCCTACAGAAGGAGATCTAACAAATAACTACACTATCATCCTGGAAAATAAAAATAGAACAAAAGTACGTATCAAGAAAAGGGAGTCATACAAAATCCTTCTGGTGTTTGGGAACTATGGCTGACTGAGTTTTTCGTTGCCTTCTGCACCTCAGCTGCTCAAGGAAAACTTACTCAAAATAGGTCTAGGAAGATACAAGCATGTTAAATGACTCAAGTGCCAAGTATGTGCGATTCCCACACTTGAAGAATAGAAATCAAAATCTGATCTTTCAACTAAGAACTCAGAATCCAACAGGTTCATTAGTATTCAAATAAGGCACTAGATTTTTTCTAAGTATTGCTAGAGATGAGGACATGTATGCCAGACATGCATCGTTACAATTCAGACACATTTGAAAATACAATTCTTGTTTTTTTAAGTTATTTGCCTGTATTATTAGTACTTGATTATCCCATGAAATTGCAGTCCTAAATTTTCCAAACATTATGGAAATCTTTTTCTCATTAAAATTAAAACATACAATTATTTTCAGTAGCTCCCTGGAAAAGAATAAGAAAAGCAATAATGGATTTTAGCTGAAACACAATGTGATAATAATTAGTAGGACAGTAAAGAAAAGGTGGGGTTTTTTAAAATAACTGGAAAAAGTAAAGAGCTTTCCATGGAGATTGTAAATTCAGAAAGAAGGAAAAGTAACGAACACTTGCTTAGGACACTGTAAATTTAAAGAGTTTTAAAAGTAGGCTAACACACAGTATTGCAAATATAGCATTTCTGAAAACAAACATGAGTATACACAGCATCTTACCTGTACAGTAGGAACATCTGTAAATGCCTTAATAAAATCATCCTCATCCACAGCTCCAGCTCCTCCTTCTTTAGAGGAACCTACATAAATGTAAAATACTGTTAAACAGTATGTAGTGTACATCAAGGTTTTCAAACTGACATAAGCATCTTTCACAATACCTATTTTCAAACATTCAATATAACTTAAAAAAAATCCTGAACATTCATCATGTGTAAAATTGCAAGACCTTGAACTCTGATATCACCATGAATAACACAAACGTTAAACTTCTTTTTCTTCAACAATTCTGAGCAGTTTCCAATTTGACAAAGTTATGGTTTCACTTTATTATTTTTATTTTTGTGTTTAATTGGAAACATGTTTAGTGCAACAATCCTCTAGTAGCTGTTTGCATAGAGTTCGAGACCTGCATCCTGATAATACAAACGTTCCCAAATAAAGCACAGAATTTCAAATCAAGCAATAAGTTATTTGTCATTAAATGGAATTCCTCTGGATCAATTTTCACCTTAACACACGTGCCACGAGCAATCAGCCCTGGAATGCATAGTAGCCCTACATGATTCATTTACCTTGTCCTTCCCAGTATTCTCATGAGGAGCTAAGAAGTGTGAAGTGCATTTCTCAGTCTCAAAGCTCCATAAACTTCAACAAAGAAAGCAAGGACATGGTGAAGGGAATGTTGTGTTGGAGCAAAATCTGAACTCCACTGACTGGCGGACTCATTCTCAGAACACTCATCCCCATGGGTGTTCCACAGTGGGGCTTCCAGGATTATATCACCTGGAGGAAGCTCCCAAGAACCTTCCAGACACATTACTAAAAAACTATCACACCAAAAATGTTTTCTCTCCAAAAGTTTCCATGACAGCTATGCAAGTAGTAGGGCAGTTACGTCTGTGCAAGGTAAATAATGGAACTATTCTCACGTAACAGGCAAAGATGCCCCAAATCCCAAGCAAAAGGATCATGGAAGAATACTAACAGGTAACCTGCACGTTTCACACTGGCATACGGTTGCCAAATTTCATGAAAATCTTGGGTAGAAACTAAGGCAACTCTAAAAAAGAAAATAATTTGAGAACAGCGTCTGGGGTTTTCATTTTCTTGCAAATACTAGGGTTACCAAGAAAGCCCTTTTTTTAAAGGAAGAACTCAAGTTTGCTATCAAATCAAAGCACAAGGTCATCAGATCCAGGCTGCACTACAAGCCTAAAACTCCAAGTACAAGGTGAAGCTTGGCAGAACCCTTAAGGATCTTCAATAATTGAATCAGGCAGATAATATGACAAGACAGGTTAACTGCATGGAGACAATCAGTCCAGCAGAACATTTCCTTCTTGAGAGGGAAAAAAAAAAATATCTTTTGCAGCAAATGAGCACTCGGGAACAAGGGTCTTGTCTCAACTCTTTCAGAGTGAGGCCAACAGGATAGATGGCAGAATGTCCTCCCTAACTTGTAGAGAGCCCAGCTGAAACAGAGGCATCAGGCAGAGAAGACATGTATTTTACTAACTACAGAACAAATAAAAAACATAAGGAAAAAGCAGTTAAGGCTGAGTGGTCAACTGAAACAAAAAGCTAGGGCTTCTTGACAAATGAAACTCTTGGTGGCTGCACTCTTCAAAAATGTTTCATGGTTTACAGTCCCTGATCTCCTATTTATAGTGCAGGGAATTGGGTCTGCTGTGTTTGTATGCTTGTGCAGTTTGGAAACATGAGGGTCCAATACCACTACAAATTTGATGGCAAACTTATTAGATCTCAACTCCTCTATGGAGAACAAGATCTCTCTCATGCCTTTGTGGCTGCTTAGTGTAAAAACACTGAAGTGATATCTAGCAAAATTTGGACATGGTGCTTGCAGTATGATATAGGAACATCCAACAAATTTTGACAGCCTAGGCTCAAGGATGTTGTAAAGAGATGCTGTACATAACGCACTTCTACATATGTATCTCCAACACCATCTGTCATAAGTGCCAATGGCAGCCAGAAGGGAAAGAAGAAATTATGATCACCTATTTCCTCTCCCTCCAGGCAGTAGAGGGAACAAGTCCTTCCACACAGAGAATGAGTACCTGACTGGCTAAGAAAAGGAAGAGGGAAAGATCCCGTTTACATCCAGCACACACCCTTCTGGCATACAAACTTGTACAGCTCCTAAAAGGGAGGATGCCTTGGTCAGAGCAGAATTTCGCAGAAAGAAACCTTGAAAAGAAAGAATTTGGCACAGAGGCACCATGCTAAACTAGGTGGTACAAACAGCCACCTGGATGCTCAATTCATAACCCCATTTGTCCCTCCCGAAATACTTCAACATTTAAGAAAGTCTCATAGTACCAAAATAATCACAATCAATATGCAGTACGTACTCAGGAAAAGTAATGGAAAAGAAATCTTGAGTAGCCAAAAGGTTACCAGAAAAAACTAATTTTTAAAGGTTAAAACATAGTTTTCATATGGTCAAAGAACTTCTCTCTTACAATGTTTAAAATATAAACAGTTCATAAAAGGTTTCTGTTCTTATCAAAATTGTTTTAGTCAAAGCTAACCCATTGTGTTAGTCACAACACAGTAAGCCCCTACAAAGCTCCTACACGTTTCTTTGCAACCTCATAAAATATTAAGACCACAGTGACCCCATGACACTAGAGGCAAAAAAACCTCCCTGCAATTAACAGTTTATACAAGTCTTGTGTTATTATTCAGTTACATAAATACCCAAACACCACTGTTAAAGCAGGGAAAAAAGTACTTTGCTTTCCCATCCATTACTTACCAATTTTCTGCCAAGGGAATAAACTTACAGAAATCAAACATTAAAAATTGATATACAGGCCATGAACATAAAAACCATTGAAAAAGTTTGGATTTTAAGTATTCATAGCACACTCCAGTACACTATAAAGTAAAGGTTAAAAAGGGATGAAGTTGCCTTTGCTAAATAAATAGATGTTGTCATCTTTAGTCTGCCTTAAAGTATCACTTTTAAAATCAGAAAAGAGCATTGACTACATGACAGATTTTCTAGCACTTTAACGTCATCCAATAACGCATCCTGAGGAATAAGAGAAAATCTTTTATCTAAGGAATAACAATTTATTACTTCAAAGAGAAAAAGATGAAGGACAGACTGCTATTTAAAATCCATTTGACATAGTCCAGGCACACAGCATTTCCCATCTTCCCCAGTCTCAACAACTAGTCCACTTCTACAGACCACTTTTCTTTGAAATTAATACTCCCAGAAAATTGTTTTATTGCCTCTTTGCCTGGTAATAAAAAAAGGTTATGTGGTTTTTTTGGCAGGTGACAGTTTTTTAAAGTTGTCTCTAAAAGCACATTCACTTCTAGTTCACTAATCTTTCTCCTCCTCAACTGCATGATCACATATGCATATCAAAATAAAGTGTGAAGTAAGTCTTCTCTTTATATTTGTATACAAGTCAAAAGTCTATACTGCACAAGGAGGAAAAATATTGTTCAACTTTTCCATTCCCTTCCTAATCTCTTTGTAGGTGTGTTTACCAATTCTGTTTACCAAGTCACTGTTTCTGTGGAGACTAACCAAAAAATGACAGAACCCAACCCACTGTTTCCCAATTCAGAAGAAGTCTTTTACTATGCTAACAAGATACATAAGTCACATACATGCAGATGCCTTCAAAGAACTTCTCATGCTTTTGTAAGGCTTGACTCTCCTCCACAAAAGCCACAGAAGAGCTTTACAAAATTCTCATTTCAGTACTGCCTACAAACTGAAAACTGACATATCTGACAGAGCACACATATTTTGATAAGCTGTGTTGCTGCTTACCTTCTCAGACCAAGCTGTGATTATAAATTTCTTAGAAGTATCTCCCGAGTGTTAATGCCTTCCACTGAATAACCATGTTCTTAACCTTACCCATAGAACACATAATCCTTTGACCACATACAGACAAGTTCAACTACTGCATTCCTAATGGCAAGGACACTATAAACAATTCTAAAGGGCTGTAACCCCACTTTAACGTCTTTAAGCACTCAGCAGACAACTAAAATCCAGAGCCTAATCAACTGGCTTTTTCTTCAATGAGTGCAATTTACATTACCCTACCTTTGGACTCAGACCACTGAATCCAACTGGGCCTCCCTCAGCTGAGACCCAGAAGAGAAATGCATCTGAAGGAGAGGAAGAACAATCCACACAAGACGTTTATCTACACTATTTGTTAGTTTTCATTCATAACCTTTACTTATTCTTGTCCTTCAAGCACCCTGGTTAGACAGACTCACAGAGACACCTTCAAGTTTATGTTACACTTCAGGAAGCTGGGGAGAATCTACCAAACATAACAAGCAGACTTGATATGGAAGTAAATTACAGCAGCTGAAGCACCTCTGAGTTTTATGGTGGGGTTGTGGTTGCTTTTGGCTGTTTTTCATTTTGTTTGTTGTTTTTTTTTTTTTTTAAACTTAAGTTCAATGAGTCTGTGGATGGAGACAAAGGAAACAAACCCCTTCCTGCCGACTACTAAGAGAGTTGACATTCGTAAGTTAAATTTAACTATTTCTAACATTTTGTGAGGCCCTAGGCATCCTTTTTTTGAAGAAAGTTTTTTCCAGTCACAAGGCTTTGAGTTCAGCATTGTGAATAGCTCAACATCAGAAAGGGTACTGTATGCAAGCGAAGAAATTACCCAGTCTTTTGCAGAATCAGTTTTCTCACCCAGGAATTAATTCCTGCGGTTGAGTTCTTTCCCCTCGTCCGAATGAAACATTTGAAATCTTTCCATCATACCACAACAGCTTTGGACTGCTCACTTGCTCTACCACCTTGATGCTCTCCCCACTAGTATCTACAAAGCTGTGCATGATGGGATGACAAAACAACAGGACAACACTATATGGGAGAAGAAAGATATCAGAAGTGTGACACTAGACTGGTATTTTGGTTTTGAAACAAAGAACTGTTTAATCAACAATGCTTAACTGTTTAATAAAGCATACAAGCACTGGTCTAAAAATAAAAAAATGCTCAACTTGTATTTGGTAGCTGCTCTTTACTAGTCTGATTCAGCTTTTTCTACTT